GTGGAGAAGCCGGCCACATCTCACGCGATTGTCCTAACCAGCAGGGCGGCGGCGGTGGTGACCGTGCATGACTATAACTGCGGCAAGAGTGGCCACATGAGCCGCGAATGCCCCAACCAGCAGGGCGGCGGCGGTGGTGACCGTGCATGCTATAACTGCGGCAAGAGTGGCCACATGAGCCGTGACTGTCCGAACGGGCGCAGTGGGAACTATCAACGTGATGGCGGGAACCGCACCTGCCACAAGTGCGGCGAGGCGGGCCACTTCGCACGTGAATGCCCCACTGTGAGCGGTCAAGCTTAAACACGAATAAAGGTCGGGCTGTGTGTGTGTGTGTATGACCTGTCGAGCCACAAGGTGGGCCAGGAGTGTGGAAAGGGCTCGATATCATTTCGCAAGACTTATTGAATGCAAAAAAAGAATTTGTATAATATACAGCGTTGTTGTATCACTTTTTCTTTTTTTCCGTAAACATTAGGCTTGAGACAGATAATAAGACCCTAACTGTAAATTTGTAATGCTTCGATGAAATTTTTTTTCTTTCATTATGGCTTCATTAGGCAACAGAGGAGTCACACTTTCTGAAAAATGACACGAATTAATCAGTTTAAGAGTCACTCTATTTGATTCAAGATCTCTCCTTGTTGCTTACTTTTGCATTCTTTACTGAGCGTGATAAAGTGGAAGCCTTGTTGCTTGTTGGATGCCGAATTAAATAGATCAAGTTAAATAAGAATAATATTTCTAAGGTCGAAGCACATGAAGAGTCTAATTTAATTTTCAGGATGCTTTTTTTTTTTAGGAAAAAAACTTTTTTTAAAATACGTCAGGGTTTTAGGATTGTATGCTGTAATGAAGTCCGTATAATAGACGTGGAAAAAAAGGTAGAGCAACGGGAAAAATAAAAAAATAATTAGAAAATAATGTGGTAAAGTACTTAATACTTAAATTTTTGGGTAAAAAATTCCGATAAAACATTGCATTATTACCCCTTCAAGGAATCTTGTGTTGCCTCACTCTCAATATCTGATGACCAAACTATATTATTCTTATTCTAGTTTATTTTCTCAAAGCTTTTTCGGTATGCACTCTCTTTGATGCGTATTTTAAGTATGATAAAATTACATGAGGAAAATTGTAAAGTAGGTTGGATGTGTTGTGCGTAGAGAAATTATATTTAGTATTGGTCGTCTCACGCAGCAAAGTTGTGCCTGGAGTTTATTTATTGGTTGGAGTTTACCGACTCGAACGACAAGGGGGTATGAATGTTGGCGTGTACAGATTCGAGCTGAAAGAGGCATTTTTCAGGGTAAAGTTTATTGAGGATGGAATTAAGTTGCGGTTAATTCTAAAGAGAGTGCGCGGCGCGTTTCGGGCTTGTGTGGAGCGTGGAAGAGGTGGAGGCGAGCGTGAAGAGGAATAAAGGAATAAAATCCATTTACCAAGCTGCATGTTTCACATTTTGGCAGTTTGCCGCGACAGATTAAGCTTTATGTATCTGCCGATGAGCCTTTTTCTCGTGTTTGGGATACCCTATTTGGGTTCTTTGTTGTATGATCTTGAAAGTAGAGCCCATCATATTTGGTTCTGAGGGTAAGAGGCAGAGGGGTGTATATGTTTATAACGAAAAAACGGGATACTATATCACGAGGGATTGGAAGACTAATCTAGGCGAGTGTAATGTTGTGTTTGGTCGCATTTTTCATTGATATATATGACCTCGCCTTGGAAGGCATATTTTGCAAAAGTTCAGTTTGGGATTCTCGTTTTAGGCAGTCTCGTTTCCCATACACTTCTATGATGGAAAAATATCCTTACTACACGTAACACACGTGATTTAATTTCTACACTGGTACACTTACTGTATGCTAATAAAATCAAGCAAATCTCGGGGGTTTCTTAATGTTGATGCAGTTTCTCACTTGTTCTTTTTTCTCTTCCCCTGAAATTCGCTTGTATCCTAAGCTCCTCATATGCGTACACAGCTCATGCTAAGTTTGATGTGAGTAATTACCAGTTCTGGAGAGTAGTAGACTACCTGATCGCAAGGCTGTTTCCATTATTTCGTCAAGTCGCACTGCGCTTCCTGAGGAAAAGGATGCCTATCTAATATGTTTTTTCCCAAGTTCTACATGCTGCATTATGCTCAGAAGGGAAAGCCAAACTAGCTCTTTTTCTCTGTTGCTATGAGTAATAAGCTCTGAATGCTTGTAGGTGTGCCTGTAACTTCATACCTGTCTCCCTAGAGAAGGCTGTTTGTTAAACAAACGACTCGTAGAACAACTATGTGAACCGGATTGGGCCTTCCTTTCCAGGAGGAGGACACTTTCCAAGTGAAGGTCCAGAGAAAAGAACTACACCTGAGTCGTACATATGTTAGTCGAATATAATGTAACAAAAGAGACTACAAAAGTCGATATATTTCATGGTAAAATTCTGTCAAGTATTCTTTTACTTGTAATAAAATAATGCATTGTATGACGTTTTGTGACGACTTACACAAAAATTTACATTCTCTTTACGCAAAAAACTCTGCATGCCTAAAGCAATAAATATACTTATAAGCTGACCAATAAGCAAGAGCTTAGGAGAGAGATGATATATTTCCACAAGGTTAATTCATATAAAGAATATACATATACATATGCATATCTATATCTATCTATCTATATATATATATATATGCTAAAGAATTTTATTTAGCATAATGCGATCTATGGCTTTTTTTATAAATGGGGGAAAGTGCTCTGTGTGAGCGCTAAAATAAGGGATTGAACTTTTATTTTTTTTGTGTATGTGGAGGAGATGTCGTCAGATTAACCTTTGAAACTTCACTTGCTGTTTTTTGAAGCTTTAAAGCGTTCCGGAATTTGCTGCTTTGAACTTCATAAAGAATGATTGTTATTCTTATCAGAATTCGAATGGGCCGTATATGTAAATATGCGTATATATATGTATGTATCTTTAATAATTCTCGGCCTCTTTTTCCTCGTGTTTATATCAACAATCAGTTCCTAGTTTTAGATATTATTATTATTTTTCTGGAGAAATATTCGTTATCGCTCTTCTTAATACCTAGAGATCAATAGTTTTAAAGGGAGAAGAAAGAACACTATACACTTAAAACACTTGATTAAGAAGATGGATTCTCCTGTCATCGTAAAGGAAGTTTTCCAACTTAACTCCATTCCAGGAGGCCTGCGCCCCGGTACCATCTCCTTTAAAAATGTCACCATTGATGGTGAAAAGTATGTATGTGTGCGCGATGTACAAGAGAATGGACAAACTTCACTTGTTATTGCGGATCTTGTCAAACAAGAGAGCATGCGCAACAATATCAAGGACGCTGAGGCGGCCATTATGAATCCGAATTCGAAAATTCTTGCACTCCGCAGCGGTCGCAACATGCAAATCTTCGACGTGGATGCATCCAAACGGCTTAAAGCACTGGTGTTCCACGATGACATCCTCTTCTGGCGCTGGGTTGACGCCGAAACGGTGGGTATAGTAACGGCGACGACGGTGTATCACTGGAGGTTGAATACGGCACCGGACACCCCACCAGAGCGGGTCTTTGATCGTGGAGAGGACTATGGCGCGTCGGTGCAGATCCTTTCTTACCATGTTGATGAGAAGAAGAAGTGGCTCGTCCTCACTGGTGTCACTCGTGACGGCACCAGCACGGTCGGCAAGGCGTTTCTATATAGTGTAGAGAACAAGAGTAGCCGCGTACTTAGCGGACATGCCTGCAATTTTATAACCACCACCGTGCCGAACGAGTCTCGCCCGTGCGACATCATGTGTATGGCCTGGAATAGCCCTCAAGAAGGGGGGCAGGTGATGATTATGGAGCTTCCCACGAGCGAGAAGATGGATCTCACCTTAACCAGGCGAGTCTACAGCGTTCGCATGCAGGAGGGCGATTTTCCTATAGTGATGCATATGTCCGAGCGTCACAAGCTTCTCACGGTCGTCACGAGTCGCGGAGCGTATGTGCTGATGGATATTTTCACAGGCACCATTCTGGCCACACAGCAGTTTGCGCCAGCGGTTATCTTCTGTGGCGCAGAGGACCGCACGACCGGTGGGATCATCTGCGTCAGCAGCCAGGGCGCCGTCATTCGTGTTGCACCAAACGATGCCAGCATCATCCCATTTGTTAAAAATCACATGCAAAACCCGCAGCTTGCAATTCGCATCGCGGAGTCGGCAAACCTTGGTGGCGTCGATGACCTCTTCCGGACGCAACTGGAGAGCTATTTGCAGTCTGGGAATGTAGAGGCGGCCATTCGTATGTGCTTGCGAGCTCCTGGTGGCGCGCTTCGGACTCCCGAAGTTCTGCGGCGTTTCATGCAGTTGCCTCAGCAGCCTGGACAGCCGCCAGCTATTTCTACCTATTTCAAGCTCGTGCTCGCAGAAACGAAGCTGAATGAGTTTGAGTCGGTTGAGCTGGCACGTGCCGTGCTCCCAAAGGGAGGGATCGGCTTCGTTAAGCAGCAGCTCGATGAGGGCAAGCTAACTCCCAACACGGAGCTAGCTGATCTCGTGCAGCGTTTGGATCCGGATATGGCTATGAAGATTTATCACCAGAACTCCTCGCATGCTAAGGTGGTCAATGTGCTGTTGCAGTCCAACCAGACTCAGAAAGCGGTAGAGTACTGCAAGCAGACCAAATTTTCTCCGGACTGGCGAGTTATCATGGGCAACTTTATCCGCGCGAATCCGCAAGACGCCGTCAGTCTCGGCCTTATGTTGTATCGCGAAATGGGTGATAAGCCGGTACTAAGCGCCGAGGAAATTCTGGATATGCTTGTTTCGACTCAGAACATTCAGCAGGCCACAGAATTTCTCCTTGAGGTGCTGCGCGACCACAACGATGAGTCCACCATCGACTTTCAGACCAAGCTGCTGGAGATCAATCTAAAGTATTCCCATCCATCCGTCGCAGAGAAGATTTTCGCGCGTGGGATTTGCCTCCATTACGACCCGATCAAATTGGCCCCACTATGTGAACGCGCCGGGCTCTATCATCGGGCCATAGATTGCTACATCATTGCTCAGAGGGAAGATCTCAACGCCAACAATTTGGTCAACATCCGCCGCTGTCTGGAGCAGTACCATACCTTGAGTCCCGAGTGGATGCTAGAGTTCTTTGGAAAACTCAACAAGGAGGAGGGTCTTGTGTGCTTGTCTGACCTCTGCAAAAATCACAAGCAGAACTTCAAGGTCATCGTGCAGGTGGCTACCAAGTACAGTGATGCCCTTGGGTCCAGGGACCTCATTAACTTTTTCTTGGAAAAAGGGTTGTTTGAGATTCTCTACTACTATCTGGGTGCCATTGTACCCTACACGAAGGATCCCGAGGTTCACTTTCGCTACATCGAAGCGGCAGCGGAGATGGGGCAAATACAGGAACTGGAGCGCATGACCCGCGAGAGCCCTTGCTATGAACCTGAGCGCACCAAGAGCTACTTGAAAGCTAAGGGACTCACTAACGTGTGGCCCTTCATCAACGTTTGTGATGCACATGACATGGTGAATGAGATGGTGCATTACCTAGTCGACACGGGTAACGAATCTTGCATCGAGCAATATGTAATGCGGCGAAGCCCCGGCAAAACACCACAAGTGGTGCAAGCTCTCATTGAGTGTCATAAGAGTGAGGATTACATTAAAAGTGTGTTGAGCGCTGCGGGCGCCATGTGCCCTATACAAGAGCTTGTTGATGTTGCTGAAAATACTGGCCGCATGAGTCTCATTAGGGAGTGGGTCCAGGATCGCTGCAGTGAGAAGAAAACTGATGCTGCACTATTCAATGCACTCGGTAAGATCTACGTAGACTCTGGTGAAAATCCGGAGGCATTTCTCTTGGAAAACGAATACTACGACCCAATGGTGCTTGGTAAGTACTGCGAAAACACAGATCCCAACTTAGCCTACATTGCCTACATGCGCGGGAACTGCAGCGAGGCGATTGTGAAGCTCTGTCAAAAGAACAACATGTATAACCATTTGGCTCGTTACCTTGTCAAGGCGCAGAACCTCGATCTCTGGGCAGGTGTATTGGCCTCTGACACTCCTGAGCGCAAGCTGCTCGTGGAGGCGGTTCATCAAACTGCACTTCCCGAGGCTCAGGTAAGTGAGGAGGTCAGCACGACAGTGCGCGCGTTCATGAGCGCGAACCTTATTGAGGAGCTAACGTCGTTACTCGAGCAAATTGTCCTGTATGGGCAGTTCCGCAAGAATCGATATCTCGAGAACCTCCTCATCATGTCTGCCGTCCGCACGCGTAAGGATAAAGTGATGGAGTACGTCATGAGTCTTGAGAACTACGACGCCGCCAACATCGCCAACCTGGCTATCGGTGCGGAATTATACGAGGTTGCATTTGTTGTCTATGACCGCCACAACATGAAGAAGGAAGCCATGATGGTGCTACTGGAGAACCTCAAGGATCTCTCCCGAGCCCGCACTTTTGCACAGAAACTCGATCTGCCGGAGGCGTGGGGGATTCTGGGTGTGTACTTGGTCAAGGAGGACGACATGCACGACGGTGTTGAGTGCCTGATTCGCGGTAAAAACGCCGACGCGGTCGCAGACGTAATGGCTGCGGCCGAGCGTACTAAACAGTATGCGGACCTTGTCAAGTATCTTTTAATGGCACGTACGTGCTCTCGCTCCAAGGACGGCAAGATCGATACAGCCCTCGCATTCACATATGCGAAAACCGGCCAAATCGTCAAGCTCGAGGAGTTTCTCAAGGACACACACAACGTGAAGATTGGCGATATCGCCGACAAGTGTTTCAATGAGGGGCTGTATGACTCGGCGAGGGTACTGTGTCGCTTAGCGAACAATTACGCACGTTTGGCGACGACGGAGCTAAAGCTGAATAATCTGGCGGCTGCAGTGGAGGCTGCGAACAAGGCCAGATTAGTGCAGACTTACAAGGAAGTGAATATGGCTTGTTTACTAGCTGGTGAAATGAAGCTGGCTGGTATTTGTGCCCTACCCGTTCTCCTTAAGGTGGAAGAGCTAAGTGGTATGGCCGATCGGTACGAGTCTCGCGGCCTCTGGGAAGATTTGCTTACCGTGCTCAGGACTGCTGCAGGCACCCAAGGGGCACACATGGGTATCTTCACTGAGATTGGCGTTCTTTTAGCCCGTTACAATCCAGAAAAGCTATTGGAACACATCAATATATACCCCAGGAAAATCAACACACACAAAATGGTCTCGGTATGCGAGCTATATCACCATTGGCTTCCATTACGTGTGTTGCATGTAAACAACGAGGACTGGATGGCTGCGGTGAACACCATGATGAAGCATTACGCCGATGCTTGGGATCATGAAGTCTTCAAGGATGCCGTTCTACGCATGGGCTCGAACGATGTCGTTTATTCAGCGATAGGATTCTACATGAAGACTCACCCTGAGCTGCTCAACGATTTCCTTTCATCCATTTTCAAGAAAGTTGAACCAGAGCGTGTCATGGTGGAAGTTGAGAAGTACGCTCCAATTTATCTTATCCGCACGTACTTGGAGGCGATTCAGGAACGCAATCTCAAAAAAGTTAACGAGACTCTAAATGATCTCTATATTGAGGGCGAGGATTTCGATGCGTTACGCCACTCCATTGAGTCCTATGACAACTTTGACTTTGAGAAACTCTCGTCGCGGCTAGAGAAGATGGAGTTGTTTGAGTTCCGTAAGATCGCCTTGTTTCTCCATCGCAAGAACAAGAACTACATGCATGCCATCCGGATTGCCAAGGAGAATAAGCTTTATCAGTACGCAATCGACACAGCCTCTGAAAGTGGTGACACTGCCCTGGCGGAGGAGCTGCTCGACTACTTTGTGAAGGACCACCCCGAGTTCTTCGCCTCCTGTCTGTACACCTGTTACGATATTCTCGACCCCACCGTCGTGATGGAGAAGGCGTGGCGGAATCAGCGCACCGACATCGCGATGCCGTACCTCATCCAGACGATGCAGTCCTGCATGAGCAAGATCAACCGCCTCGAGCGCGCCCTCTCCGACGAGCATGCCGCCGCCAGGGAGGCAGCTCGGCGGCTCGGCCCCGCCGAGGGTGTGAACCGCCCCCTAATGATCGAGGCCACCGCCGCGGGGTTCGGCCCTGGGGCGCCGCCGATGCCGATGCCGTCACAGCCACAACAGCAACCCAGCTACGCCAACATGGGACACTTCGGCACAGGGCGGCCGTTTTAATTCGAACCCCGTGGGTTCGTGGGGGTTGTGATTGGAAGTTGTGACAAGAGGTTGGGGCGGAGGAGGAGAGGGGGAGAGAGGGGTCTATAGCTTGCATGCCGAGCCTGTGATGCATGTAATTTGTTCTCCCCCCCCCCCTCTCCTACCGCCTCTTTTTTTTCTATCGTAGTATTTTCTCTTCCTCCAAGTTTCTTTTGTTCAAAGTGCAAACATAGCAGATACATTTGATGAACCAACTTCAGGGAATGGTTCTATTCGATCAATTATATATTTGTATACGAAATCAGGAAACGAGTGTAAAAATCAAGAGTAAAAAAGACTTTGGTTTGTTTGGTGCTTAAGCTAGGATTATCAGAAGATAAGTTCGAGGAGAAAAAAGCAGAGGCTACAATACTCCGAAAAGTAGAAAAATCGGAAAAACATATCGGGTGCCGTATAGAAATCGTTGGCTTATTTTTTTTATTATCTCTTTGATTCGTTTTTTTCTTTGTTTTTCATCCGAGACTTCTTTTTAGAGAAAATTAAGGGGTAAAATGGACTATTGTGAATCATATTTAGCAACTTTTTTTTGCTTTTTCTAGGGGATAGTACGGGTTTTAAGGAGAACTTGAATATTTTTTTTTGTTGCAGGAAGATGCAGAATTCATGATAATTTCTAGTTTGAAAAGTCAATTTAGAACATTAACAGGCGATAAATTGCATTCTGTGGAATAAGCCGTTTGAAACCGTATCTTGCCACCTCACGCGAGGATCTATATATTTCAAACATACATATACGCATAAATAAATTATTCATAGTACATTCTCTAAATATAATGATGCTGATTTTATGTATTTCCCAAAATTCGGATTTCTTGAAACCCCCCTTTGAGCTTATTCCTTTTGCTGAAGATAACTACTACTAATATTTACACTACGTTTCGTACCAAAGAAAAAGAAGAAGTTTTTAACACTAACTACTACTAACCACCAAAATCAATTATGTCTGATGCACGTGCTTGCTTCCGCTGCGGTGAAACCGGCCACATTTCTCGTGATTGCACCGCCGTTAGCACTGATTCGCGCACCTGCTTTCATTGTGGTGAGGCCGGCCATATCAGCCGCGACTGCCCAAAGGAACGAGCTCAGCGCCAGACCGTCGTAAAGACGTGCTACAACTGCGGCTCCGAGCTGCACATCTCGCGTGAGTGCCCCAACCCGCCATCCGGCACCGAACGCCGCACCTGCTACAACTGCGGTAAGGCTGGACACCTCAGCCGCGACTGCCCGAAGGAGCGCAACAACAAGGCTTGCTACAACTGTGGCGAAGAAGGCCATGTTTCTCGCGACTGCACAAAGGAACACAAGGAGTAAGCCATTAGAACCGGAGGAGGAAAAGTGGAAAGGGAAGGAAAGGATAAGGTTGTGCATTTTGACTTTCGTGGCCGTTTTCTTTCTTTTCCTTTCTCTTTTTTCTCCCCTTTCGCATTCTCTTTTCGTGACCTCCCTTGTAGTTTTCTCCCTGTGACTCTCTACACCAGTAGCGGGATGGATGTTAGCTTAAATAGTATTTGTTTTTAAGGAAAGTTTTATAAGTGAAAAGGGAAAAAATAACAGTTAATAAAGTAGAAAGAATGAACTATATTAAGGGAAGGAAAATGCTCGTAAACCATTAAAAAAATGATTTCACGCTCAACACAAGGCCTAAGGAGGGAATTGTGCTAAACGAATCTTTTTTCTCACATCAATTTCATTTCCTGTTTCAGTCAGTATATATATATATTTTCCTCTTATTGACTCTGTTTGTGATACGAAAAACGAAAAGCTAAAGTAAGTGTGATTATCCCTTTCTTGGTGCTTGTCGAGCCCCCTTTTCGCTCTCTTTTTGCATTCCATTGTAATAAGGCGTAGTATGCCGACGTGCAAATTAATTCAGATCTTTGTGTACTTCGCTTTTCCTTCCTTTTCCTTTGGATGGGAATGAGACACAATTGAAGTTGTTTGTATCTCTCTTTCCGTTAGTCTTTAACATGTCGAATTGCTAGCTGACTTCCTTCTCGTACCCCCCAACATATATAAAGGGAAACGGATTTTGCATTGGAATCTATAAAGATGAGGTGCAACTAAACAGGCTTTGTTGCGAAAAGCCGTGGAAAAAAACGCTGCGGAACCCTAAACTGAAAGATAAGGACTATTTCAAGGAATTGTAGAGCGGGGGCAAAGGAAGAAACATTATCACTCGATGTTTTTTTTAAATCCTCATCTACATTTTTAGGAATGTCGAATAAATGTAAGTTGTTCTAAATTTGGATATATTAAGGGTAAAGATTATTTAATTCGGGAAAAAAATGATGAATCTTTTAAATTTTCTTAATACATATTGTTATGCGATTATATCTGTAGCAGTTTAATAAGTTGATAGCAAGTTTGTTACAGTTCAGAAATCACTTTGCTCACACTGTTTTTCTCTCTATTTTCAACGTATATTTTGCTTTACAAATTCACAATTAGTTTGACTAGTTAATTTCTTTTTGGCTTACATATTGTAGGGTGACACGAAGGGACATTTCTTTGCGGATTAAACAAACCAAAAAAGGGAGATTGCTCTTGTGCTTTATCAAGATCAATTAAAAGTTATACTTATTAAAGAATTTGTCAATACCTATCGTAAGGGGATACTAGAGCGTGCTGATACACATCCATATTAAAACAGGCGAACAACAATGTTTCGAAACAAGTACGACACCGACATCACCACATGGAGCCCCAATGGTCGTCTCTTCCAACTCGAATATGCGAACGAGGCGGTGAACAATGGCTCAGCAGCTGTGGGGGTTAAGGGTGCTGACTACGCCGTGCTCGTGGCGCTGAAGCGCAGCCCTGCTGCCGAGTTATCTTCTTATCAAGAAAAAGTCTTTGAGTTGGATGAGCACGTCGGCATGGCAATTTCTGGCCTAGTGTCTGATGGCCGTATTTTGGCTCGTTTTATTCGAGTAGAGTGCATGAACTACCGTTATATGTATGGTAGCAGCTTACCCATCAACCAACTTGCAGACATGCTCGCCGATAAGCACCAGAGGCACATCCAATTTGCAGGAAAGCGGCCTTTTGGCGTAGGTCTCCTTATCGCCGGTAGCGATCGTCAAGGTCCGCATCTTTATCAGACATTACCCACTGGGGATGTCTTTGATTTCAAAGCGACAGCGATGGGTGTGCGTTCGCAGGCGGCGCGCACATACCTGGAACGACACTACTTGACATTCACGAGCTGCACATTGGATAGCCTTGTGATACATGCACTCAATGCACTTGCATGTGCCACGTCCGAAGGGGTGGAGTTGAACATCAAGAACACCACTATCGCTATGGTGGGAAGGGACATGCCTTTCACAATTCTTGACGAGGAAGCTTCGAGGAAGTATTTGGATGGGTTTAAAATGAGTCCGGAGAGTCGTGTGGTGCAGGCTGAGAATGAAGAGGAAGACGTAATTCATGAACAACCGCTGGATCTGGATGAATAAGTAATCAATGAGGATAATACTCTGATATAGGAAGGACGAGTACACGTATCCTTAGTATTTTTTTTCTCATCATAACACGATGGGTGCACGTCTGGAAAGGGAAATGCAAGTGATTTGGCTTTTTTTTTGGCAGTCGTGTTTAGATGGCTTATCGGATGATAAAAATATATAACCACAACTGCTGAAGCACTGCGATTGGTGAAATCCATGTGGATGTTTGGGGATATTCTCTGTTTATTTGGGTGTGTGCAATGCATTCTAGCACTATTTTTATCCCTTTCTCTTACTTTCCCCCTCCCCCCGCCGTTTATTTATGGCAAGTCGAGTAGTACGTCAATTTAACCTCATACAACCATAGATAAAAGAAAAGATGCCCCGCAAAGTCGCTGCAAAAAAATCGTCTTCGAAGTCGACAACTGTCGACAGTAAAAAGAAGCGTTCATCCAGTAGTGATAGTGATGACAGCGAGCATAGTAACCCAAGACGGGGCCCGAAATTTGAAGAATTCACAGAAGAAGACGCACTCATTATAGATCAGCAGCAACCAAGCGCCTCCACGACCAGCCCGAAAGTCATGTCGAATATGGTCACTCCAGAGCCAGAGACATTTGTTGGAGACGCACCAAAAACCAACAACGACACTGAGTCACCACAAGGGGATGCCCAAGATAAGCAGGTAGCGGCTTGCGACATGGGATTTACAGCGCCCGATTCCATCGCACCGGAGGAAGTGGTACCTGTGCCCGAGGAGGAGTGTGTGCCACTGGCCGCGGTCGAGGCAGTATATGTAAACCGTGCACAAGAGGCGATCAACGGCCTGTTAAAAGAGCCAGCCCCACCGCCGAAAGACATCAAAAGGGTTACTCAGGATGGTGAGACGTCCCCTCCCTTGCCAATAGAGCTTCTCCAACTGTTAAGCGAGGGATGCCAACGATAACCACTCTCAGCTGTGCCATCTGTGACGATGAAATAATGATAGCCCAGCACATCCTTCACGGTGTTGAGTCAATATGCCTAAACAAATGCACTGACTAGCCTGTAATGAAATCTAAGTGTTTAAGGTCCTAGCTTTTGATTATTTTTATTTTCATTGGTCCTGGAGATTCAACTCGAGGATTCGCAACACTTATTATTCTGTCTCTATTTTCTTCATCGCACTATTGTTCAGGGAGCACTTTTTATCCAAGACGACTATAGGTATCCTCTCTTATCACAGTTACAGATTTGGTTCCTAAACGGCACATTTTCCCCCAAGCTTAGATAAATATTAAACCAATATACGCATGCAAGTATAAATAGAGGTATATTGATATTCATATATAGAGGAAAAAAAAGCACTTGTTAAATATTAGCAAACAAAAAGAAAGCTGTCGTAGCTATTACAAAGTCCATCATTATGCCACCAAAAAACAAAAATCGAAAGAACAAAACCCACAAGCCTACCCCTTCTCCTGACACTTCTGCCTTAGCGGAGGAAAGCTTTGGAGTGGGTTCACTTCCAGTGGAAGATCCCTTAGATAGGGATGCGGCAGCCACCATTTCCAGAGATGCGTCCCTCGGCCAAAGCCAACGGATACACAGCACCATATTCAGAAATTCAAGCGAGGGGAGAGGCGCTAAATCACGTGAGAATGGGGATGATGCTCTTGATGCTGACGACAATCCTCTTGTTGATTCAATTCTCCAGATTCTTCTGAGCGGCACCACCCCAGTAAGCCAGGCGGTAGACACTATTTTGAGCGTCTATAAGCAAAACGATCCAGTAAACGCTTTATGCGTGGTGCTTAATCTCATCGCCAAAGCTTCTGGTGTTACGGAGGTTGAGCTGGACGCCGATGCCTTTACGGATGGAATAGACATCACTTCCTTGTTAGAGGAGCTGTATGTCCGCGTACCGGAAGACGCCAACGCCTATTTCTTGGTCAACAAGGATCCCAAGTATCGTCGCTTTCGTCGAAGATTTCCTAATTTATTCGAAACCCTTATGGAGCGTGCCTTCATCAATGATGCCCTTCTTGATGGTACCTTGTTGCCGACTCTTGCAAGGTGGTTCATCAGCATGAGCGAAAGCAAATCGCGCAGTTTTCGGCATACCGCTACGGTAGCCATTTTAGGCCTCATCCAAGGTCTCAACGAACTCATGACGCAACTTCAGAATCGGAATGTGACGACACGCACCAAAAAGGATGTCAAGGCGATTGGGGAAAAACTAGAAAGCCTCGCGCAATGGAGAGATCACTTCTTTTCTCAGGCCATCCATCAGCGTCTGCGCGACATCGCCGCAGAGATACGTCTTTGTGCGGTTCAGTACCTGAAGGAGTGGATCTGGAGCTTTCCAGACGAATTTATGGCAAACAAGTACTTACGTTATTTTGGAATGACTTTGCACGACCCACGACCGGAGCTTCGTGCCGAGTGCTTGGATATGATCCTGCAGGGGCTGGCTCGCCTGCCGGATGCATACAACCGAATGCATCTTTTCCTTCAGTATTTTGCCAGCCGTTTGGTTGAGATGTGTAACGATATTGACATCAGATGCACGGAATTGGCCATTCGCGTGGTTGCCATGTTGGTGCGTACCGACAGCAACGCGTCGGATCGCAGCGAAGTGCTCTCTAATGAAATGATTGATCGCGTGCTTTTGACTCTATTCGACGAGCGACCAACTATCCGGCACGCGGCAGGTGTCTTGTTGAAGGTCTTCATTCATTGCCGAACAGCTGCGGAGGAAAGTGAGGCAGAGCAGGTGGAGGCCGCAACGGAATTGTTGTGCTCCTTTGTCAGAACCCTGCGAACACAGCATCAGGAGCGGATGCCGGAGAAGTACTTAGTTGATGCTCTGTGGAATCCAGAGCAGCCGCCCCTGATTCTGACGTCATATGAGCCCATTCTCAAGCAGGTTAAGGCCTCTGCATCGCCGCTCGATCTCGTTGTTTGCGTGAGGCTCTTGACGTCACTGATTCAGAAAATAAATGGAAAGTTGGAGCTTGGACCAGCACCAAAGGATGACCGCCGAAATGCGAACCATGCCAAGAGAGCAAACGCGTCCGCTCAAAAAAAGGTAGACGATCTTGTGCGAAACGTCAGTGAGGGTCTTGGCCTTGCGCTTTGTGGCGTCATGGCAAAACAACGTGGTAATCCAGAAGTCTTGTGTGCAGTGGCTGATTCTGTGCCAGCTCTTGATTTGTCGATCTTTACGTCACGGCAGCAGGTCTCAACCCTATCGGACTTCATGCTTGAACTGCGCAAGGCCACCACAACCGTTGTCTTGCCTACAGTTATATTTGGTCTAGATAGTACCCACGACGCATTAGTACGTGCTTGGCATGCACTTGCCTTTAGCGTAAGTCCCTTGCAGAGTATCGCTCAAGGGCATCTTCAGGAAATACTGAGCCAAATCGTCAAGCAGCTCGTGCAGGTGGAAAATGCCTTTTCCTCAACCACGAAACATCATTTTAAGAGAGAAGAGGAGCTGATTCATATATGGGGCCGTTTCAGCTTAATCGCATCTCTCATACCTACCGCAGATCACTGGGATAGCATCAAGAAGGCGCTCCTAGGTCAGGTTCATCAAGATACTACGGTAAACATCGCCTGGCTTCGCCTTTCGGCGTTTGTCATTGATGCCGCTATGAACAGCCTCCTGTCGCAGATCAACAATGAACAACAGACGGAAGGTGTCATTAGCGCGATGCCGATCTCCGAGCGCATCTCAGATCTTGTAGGATTCCTTCTTCAGACCTTAGCAATCACCACGGAGGGGTTAGCCCACCAGGACAATAGCGGGTCCTCACCACAGGACTCCTCAGGGACCCAGCACGATGAAGGGTCCGCTTTGTTGAGTGTGAGGTCCCTCTCTCTCCACCTGAGGGTCCGGGCGCTGGGATACCTGTTCGACATGGTCGCGCTTTCCTATTATGACGTGCCACTGAACGAGCAATATACTCTCGTTAAACGCTTCGAGGAAGTCTTCGAAGTTCTTTGTACACAGTTGCGCGATGCACAGGAACATTTGAAAGCCATAACCAACGCATATAAAAGTGATAAATGCGTGGTATCACGCATCGCGGAGGCTCGTCATCAGTGTACCCACATCGAGGCGACCCAGATGCATCTGGTTGTTGGACTTTGCCGTTTGTTCCTTTTCAAGCGTCTGGGTGTGGGTCTGGCGCCACGTGTATTAACTCAGTGGACACACAGCTCCTCCAAGTCGGTGTCCGATATCTTTAAGAGTCTCTTTAATGTCTTGCGTAACATGGCCGGCGGAAGCTTCGAAATTGAGCGCGATATTCTCGTTGAGGCGTACAATCGATGTGCTGAGGTAGGTGCAACGCCGATTTCTGTGGATGCTCTCTACCAAATGGGCTCCAAGTTGGCGTCGATGCATTTCTTCGCCGCTGACCGCTACTACGCATCCTGTAAACATTTGGTTCAATTTGCAATCGACTTTGCGATCACTACGGACCCACTTATTCTTCAGGCTGTCATTCCGTATTGTAGCAAGCTGCGCGTAGTGGATGCGATTCAACTCTTGCAGCATGATCTACCCAAAGGTGGAGATCTCTTTACGAATTCAGTGAACACATATGTGCGTGCATTCCTGAGCTCGTTGCACCGGGCAGCAAAGTTGGAGGATGCACCATTGCCCGCATCATCAACAACAGTGAAGCGTCCGAGGGAGGTAACATTGCAACAGCATGACGATGAGGATCTTCTAGAGATCATCGCACAAGGGCTCCCGACTGTTGGTGTGCCCGACCACTCCAATGATGTCCAAGACAGCGCTTCACAACGACCACGTCGCCCAGGTAGCTTTGCTCGCACTTCGGCTTCGTCTCATCATGGTAAAATATCGATCTCATCTCGTATGGTTAATAGGGATGGTTGGCATGTCCCTGCGGGGTCGCAAAATTCGCAGGAATCTGAAGGGGTCTTCGTAGCACTCTCCCCGGATGATCAGCAGAGAGTTGCACCAGGAGACCACCACCGTCACCGCTCCGTGGTTAACGTTCCCACTACACAGGAGATAGCAACACCATCTCTCTCTGGGGGCGTCGATACTGAAGTCTTCATCGCGACACGTGAATTTGAGTAGTTTGCTGGCTTCACTTGATGTCGTTAAAGTGGTGCATCATCGGCGAATAAGCTCCTCAGAATAATTTTCTTCCTCTGTTCTCAGATATTATAGAAAATCATAAACGACGCCGACTCCTTTCTTGAGTGTGTATTTACATATTTTTGTGTGTGTTCTTAAAGAGAAACTATTTTGTTCACATGAGGACTATTCAGAAAAGCACACACTCAGGCGCCTCGTTTTCATAGAACTTGCTAGCTTGTACATAGAAAGAATTTTACTAACGTTGATTAATTTCTTTTTTGATTCATCCTTCTGAATCGACTGCAGATGCCAGTTGAAAGTATTTGAGTTGGTGTCGAAGATGGTTCCTTAATCTGCGCTGAACAAAATCTATTGAGTGCGTCGTCAAGAGATTTGCAGCGCGGTGAAATGAAATCGGTGCCGTTTGAAAATATCCTTCATTATTATTTTCCACCCTTTCGTAAAAAAAAGCAAATAATTTTTACTTTCTCTTAACCTTTCCTCTTTTCTTCTAAGAGTTCACCTTTAGATTAAGTAATTTAATGGGAAAGTTCTCCTTCTGCATTGATATAAAGCTCTTCTTAAAATTCTTGTTGTTTGCTGTTTTATAAAAGAAGACGAACATTTATACATAATATTCATACATTTTCATTTCGTGCAAGACCATCAATTGATTAAACATATATTGCTCCCAGGGAAAAGGGTATTGAACGCTGTTTATGTCTTTCCCCTTTTTTACTATATAAATAGCTTTTTACGCTTGTGTGGTTGAGCTAAACTACTGGTAGAGTTATATTTTTATAAATTTGACTCGAACACTAATTTAAGGCGTTAGCTAGAATGCATCACGAACGTGCAAGGCGGAGAGAGGAATTACCGCTATTCCTCCCCCGGTCTGACGAAGTGGAATCTGCATCTGGACCGCTAAATATTAGAGTTGACAACGACATTTTTTCCCATGACAGCCAAACCTCACTTGTGTGGCAGGCCCGCCCCTCCCAAAAGGCCATTAGCGAGACCAAAACAACTAGCGAGGGCGGCGGCCACGTGTCTGGGGCGCTAGTACGAGCTGGACATCACACCCAGCAGCGTCATAATTCACACACGCATGCGAACACCCCAACCCCCGTTGCGGTTCCACCATCCTCCTTTTACGACCCGTATAACTGGTTCAAAACATATCAGCATTTGTATCGTGAAGGCCTTCCTCCGAGTGCCTGGATTGCCCTTTCCCACCGGAAACGCGCCACGTTGAACACCAAAAACGCTGTTCGCGCCGCGTGCTGTGTCCGTGTGCTTCCTCAGTTGGATGTTATCAAGGCTGCACTCAAGAAACCTGCCGCGGATCGGCGTCGGGAGTGGTATGAAATGTGGGAGTCGGTCTCCGCGTGTGGCGCTGAGAGCCGCAGCGGGGTTGGAACCCGACAACGTGGCTCACCTTCTGATGAGGCTGCCATGGCGTACATCCCCACACCGCACATCTGGGCCGCAATTAGTAAGCCGGAGGGGCACGAAATCCACGTCCATGACGCCTTTACCGGTGCACTCCTCCTTCGTATTTCAGAGCCTAAGGGGCAACTGGCTGTGACCACTCTCCTTCATGCCCCTTTTCGCGGCTTCATGGATCGACAACTGAGGGTGATATCAATCCACAAACCAAAGGACCTACTGCGCTTGAAAAGTCAGCAACTAGTCGATACAGACTACGTTTGGGTGGGGTTCGCAGACGGTTCCGTGCGGCTATTTCCCGCCAACCCAAACCGCATTCGCGACACGGATCGCTCCGAGCGAATGTCCAGGGGCGAACTTGAGGACGTGGTTTTTGAGCTTCCGAAGTACCACAACGCCAGCATCATCGCTATCTCACGGAGCCCCTGCCATGGGGACGACAAGGGGATGGACTTGTCGACCATGAACCGGCTGAGCGCGGCTATTGATTACATGGCTGCAGCCAGCACTAAGGGCTCTGAGGACAACCGGGAGCATCTCTCTCTCATGTGCACGGCATCCGTCGACTCAAGTATCGTAGTGTGGGATGTTCGCAAGATTTACCAAACTATGGAGGCTATGCGAGTCCAGAAAGGTGGGGGCGCTGTTCGGGGTCGCAATTCACGTGGGGCGAGATGGGGAGATTACAATGACGAGCGTCCAGGCGCCGTGGACAGCGTTTTCTATTCTGATTCGGCATCCGGCGATGTTGTTACTATAGATGGTTACGCCGCGGGTCCGGCCAGCCATAAAAAGATCTTTTGTGTGCGTTCCGCGTGCACAATGATCAAGGTGCGACCGGTGTTAAAGCTGAAGGGAGGGATAACTGCTTTGAAGAGCATCCAATGGGTGTCTACCTTGGTCACCACCGAGGGTTACCAGGTGCGCCGTCGTGTAACTGATGCAACACGTGATGCAGAGGAGCAAAGTGCGCCTAAATTTGTGAAGGAGTGCCGTGATATTCAGACACTAACGCGATTTCAACGTCGTGAGGAGCATCGCCGTGTGCTGAGGCTGAATGAAAGCGAAATGCGGGAAGTAGAGGACGAGCTAAAGAGTCTCATGCCAGCATTGGCCGAGGAGCCTGTACAGTCTCTCCGCATTAACTTGATTATCGCTGGCGACAGTGTAGGCTCGATTCATCTATGGAACCTCGACGAGGAACTGCGCTACAAGCAAATGCAAGATCCCTTTGATTGTGGAGTGGGGCTCGAGAAGCATGATATCAGTCCCCAACGAATCGGCTCTCCAGTTGGCACGATGACCGACGGCGGTTCCGTGAGCATACGAAACGCCTCGGAGAGCCCTGGGCGCACCAGTCTTGGATCGCACCAAATGCGTTACAGTACTGCCAGCCCGTCCGTTCAGATGAGTGCTCTAGGAGGTGTTTCGAAGCTCCCCCGCCGTGCGAAGGCTCCGGGAAAGGTACCGAAAAGTGCCCCCAAGAGGGCCACTAGCACGGCCACCGTCCCGTTGCTCAGTGGTCCGTCGAAGGGCCTTGCACTTTCTGCTGCAACAAAGAAAACTGCTCCCGCAACTCAAGGGAAGGAAACTAAATCATCGCTACTAAGTAGGCCAAAGGTAGGGTTTGCAACTGATAGGGCAACACCTGTGCGGACGACCAAGCGCGTCTCGCCGTCCACCATTCCGTCTCAGCCGAAGCCCTCTCGCCGTATGGAGGAGGAAAGGCAGGACAACGATAATATCGAGCCTCCATCGTCTGCAGGAGCAGCAACGGAGCTGCTTCGGGGTCGGTTAAGCAGGCTGCAGAAGTTAGCAACTGTGCAGCGAGATGTGCATGCCCCTCTCAAGGCGATAAATGCCATCATGGATTCCAATGAATTGGGCCAGACACCGAGCAATAATCCTGCCAACGAGATAGCTGCAAACCCGCAAGCGAAGCGGCGGTCCAACGTCGTCTCCAAGACATCAACTCCAGCAAGGCCCACTGACACCACTCGCCAGAGGGTCTCACAGAGTCAGATAAAGGTTGCAAAAGAGAATAAAAGCACGGTTTCTGTTTCCTTACCACATCGCAAAAAAGGGGAGTCACAGGTTTCTGAACGTGCTGCTCCGACAAAAGTCAGCACAAAGGCGAAGCCTCAAGGTAGGGTGCAATCTCCACAGGGAAGGAACAGCACAAGCCCCAGGGTTGTTACACGGAACGACATCCTGAGCCGTGCATCTAAGTGTCGCATCGAGTTCACAGGCGGGGTTGCCATCACTGGTATGGCTATTGACGTTCCTGATACTCTTCGGACTACTCTACGTCAATGCCCAAACCCAGAGGATCGTCCTTTTTCTCTCCTAGAAGAGCTCTTGCCCGAGGAGGTGGAGCGACGAAGATTAGAGAATTCGTTTGAAGAACTAACAGAGCATAAGGCTCTTTTCTTCGTTTTCAAACATTTGCAGCTATATGTGTCAGTCGAGGGTGTGGTTCTAAATCTAGAATGCACACCATCATGGCATGAAGACTCCGACGGGTATGAATATTTTAGGCGATTGAAGGATTTGGATCAGGGCGACGCGATGTCCTCCCTTCTCGCGTCCACCCGGATGGAGGAAATGCCCGTTGTTGGAGAGGTGGAGTTCCCCTGTTTCACTGTTCAACTGCGGAAGAGAACCTTGGAGGCGCACTCCCAACCTGTGATACAGTTGCTTTTTGACAAGGCCCACGGCTTGGTATGGGTGGCGCGTAACGACGGCCTCCTCTCACTCTTTTCGAAGGACACAAAGCGGATCGTGACGCGTGTGGCACACCCCTGCGCGGATGCCGCCCTCGGACCGCCACCGTATGCGGAGTGGAAAAAACAACAACAAGCCTATCTTAGGGAGTTCAACCTGGTACACTCGCAGCTTCACCTGGAGTGGCATGAGGAAACCAAAGGCTACGAACCTGCGCACTTCAACAGCTTCTTGCCCTTCTGCAAGCGATCACAGACTACGTTGATCTTGCTCTCTGGCAGGCAACAGACACGTACAGAGGACTTTAAGGTTGGACATCCTCATTCGCTCTGGTATGAGGCTGAGAAATATGCTAACTCCTTTGGATTGGCTAAATCTCATGAACCGCGAGACCATGGCCGACATCCCTCCTCGTGTTTGGTTTTCCTTCAAGCTCTGAAGCTTGATGGACGTTCGGATATGGACGTGCACGCGTGCCACCGTGAAAGATGCCTTAGCGATTTGTTCGATCGATTTGTTTACTACCGTGGCATGGCCGATCAAGTACGCCGTGCACAGAAAGACAACTACCAGCTTCAGTGTAACCTTATAAGTGACCGTGTGCGCTATATAATGCAAGAGTTCACAGCCTGCACATCTTTCTCTACTCTCTCTCAGTTCTATGGTATCTGGAAGAAACATGCACGCGACTACCGCCGTGAACACATTTTGCGGCGCCAACGCGCATCACGAATTCTACAGCTGATCCCTCTTGCCGATATCGCGAGGCGAAACACCACCATCGCACACCAGGGCCGATGCTTTTACATTTGGCTTAGGTGGTGCGCTAAACGGGTCATGAAGCACAGGGAACACGTTCAGCAAAGGTTCTTTCTCCATTTGATGACGCCTACGCGACGCCTTCCAACTGGAAACATGATGCAGCGGCTTTGGGAGCAGCACACACAAGCTCAGATTTATAAATTCTGGAAAAGCTTGGTAGGGACAAGCGGTGCGCGGCATCGAGGGGGGTGGCATTCCATCGCAACGACTTCTGTGCGAAGTACGTCCCCAATGGCTACACCCATTGCCTGCATCAAAAGTGCTCGCCAGGGCTACAATAATTTGATGAACATCAGCCCACTTGTGCGCACCGAGACTTGCACTTATCTAGCTGGTGTGGAGCCTCAAGTTGCGGAGTACATTAGCAGTGGACCAGAGCAACACACCCCAGTGGGCAAGTACTACCATAACGGCGATAGTGTGTTCAACAAGCAGGATAAACTGACATCGGCGACGGATTATACCCATTCCACAGCTTATATTGATGCCTTTCAGCTAGAAAAGGAAAACATTTCCCCAAGTGAGATTTTGCCTGAATCGCATTGTGAGGACCCAAGACTTGTTTCAGGGTTTCTTGAAATAATGGCTCTATTTTTTGATGCACGACATGCGATGATGCAATTCAAGGAGAATAATACTTCCTCACAGAGCGTCCTGGATGAGTCTTGGCTCTCCATCGTGAAGAGTAGTGAGAGTGGTGCTGAAGTAGATGACGAAGGCGGGCGCCGCCTGGCTGTCTTTTCCTACGGTTTGCTTCCACTTTTGCAAGGTTTGCTCTCTACAGCCACGGATGTCCTTTCCAATCTGAACGATCCGTCAGTAGCCAATGAGGTGATTTCTTTGATGGGCGGTATACAGTTCTGTATGGATTACGTCACGGCTGATTCAGTGGATTACTTGGCGAGTTTGTTGGGGCAAGAAAATTCCGCACATAGTGATGTCTCCACCGTTCTTTTTACCACAGATAACTTAAATGCGATGTCTTCTGTCGATTATGACAACAAACACAAGGAGTTCGACTCAAATGGGATGCTGCATGCATTAAAGAATGCACGACTACAAAATGTTGAGAAGCCACCGCGGAAGATCAACACCTCCGAACTGGGACGACATGCCTTTCAAATGAACGGTAAGTCAGAAAAAAGCACGAACCCGCATCTTATGTCGCCAAGTAGCGTATTTTTGAGCATAATGCGATTCTTCGTGATCAAGGCAATGAGAGATCAGGAAAGCCTGGATGCTTTAAAAGAAGTGATTCGTGAAAAAGAAAGCCTAGAATCATTTATTAGCTTTTTAGAAGATGAGAACGCTGTGGAGCGACGATGCCCACTTTTCACGTAGAAAATTAGAGGTTGTAAAGTCGCCTTTCTTCTTTTATTTTTGTGAATGAGGATAAAAGTGTTAATATCTATATATATGGCTTACCGCCCTAATGTTGACATTAAATTGTGATAAATATTTTATACTCATTTCTTCCTTCCCCTCCCCCCTCCTACTCTTTATAGAAAAAATATCACGGCAGTGTCGCGCCAGCCTGACACACAGCACCTGAATCTACTTTGTTTTCTCAATTATCATTTTTTATCATATCTTTTGATACATTTTGTTTGATCTATGTGTTTAATGAGGCTAGTGCTAAACTCATAGTGTGCTGAGGGGAGTAATACGCATGTCGAAGATTATGATATAGGGATGTACATTTTTTCCCATTTTTGCTTTCGTATTGCACTGTGGCACCGTAATCATCTAGCTGTTACTTTCGTGCCCTAATTAAACATTAATTAGAAATAAGGAAATATTAGAACACGACAAAAAAACAGAAAAGTGTAATACTATCTGTTAAATTTTGCTGAATATTTTACTACCGACATGTCTCTCTGTAGAGAACTACAAGTTGATTGTGTGAATATAAACATGTATAATGTTTCTGTACCTGTATTTCAACATAGGGGTGGATCTGTTTTCCTGTTTATATATATCCCTCTCCCCCGGTTTATCTCTTCTTATGTGAAACATATTCAAAGTGAGTTGTATCATGCAGTACCTTGGTATCTATTATCATTCTCAAGGTAGCCTTTGTTAGATTTTTTTGTGTGCGTTGAGAAGATAGAGTATTAAGTCCATCTTTGCGCACACTTGTGTGTGCATCTTAGAATAATTTTAATTGCGCATCAAAGGCTAGCTTTTGATCATCAGGCATATATTCATTATACTACGTTATATATATATATATATATATCCACATGTCCTCCTTTGCCGCCTCAGCAAATCTATCGACAGAAACCGCAAATAGCAGCTTGCTTCGATCAGGCCTGAATATCAGCGTGGGCGACACCAAATCCATTGTGCTTGCTTTGCAGGCTCTACAGGGAAAAATACGTGCTCTTGAGCAAGACCGAGACCTTCATAGGGATCAATATGAACGAATTCTTCAGGCACATGAGGCTTACAAGATCGATATGGAGCACCAATTAGAGCGCGAGCGCGCTGCCCATCGCCGCCGCGAAGAAGAGCTTCAAGAGCTACTACACAAGGCTCACGAAGAGAAGTCTCGAATGGAAGGCACCTTGAGTGGGAATCAGGGTGACTTGTCTGCATTTAGAAAAGAAATTGAGGATATGATTGAATCTGAGAAAAATATGGCGAGACAACGAGAGCTGAAACTCCAGACTGAGATCAACCGTCTCCAGCAGGAAATCACTGAGGAGCGGGCTAGATATAACACCTTGCTGAGTAATGTAGAGAAACTTAAGGGGGAGCGCAACACTATTGAGGAAATCAACCTCAACTTGCGGAACGCTATTTACGAGCTGCAGAATCAGCCGCACAGCAAACAGCAGCAGCGGCAACCCGCGAGGGCTCCGAACACGCGTCGTGGGAAACCACCCGGTGTGTATGCCGGGGTCCCCAAGGAGTCCGCTAGGCATATCGCGAGGGGCTACTCATTTCACTATGGTGGGTACCAAGAGCCCACCTGTAATTCACGGCTACGGGATGCCCGAAATGCGTTTGAGGAAGGTTCCTGTGTCTGTGGAAGGGCCTATCTAGCGGGGGATAGCTCTGTGAACACACCCAGGAATAATCCATCCGTCGCGGGTCATCTGTCTCAAAGGCAAGGACGAAGCTCTTCGACGCACTCCCGCGTTCGGATTATCTCGCGCGATGCCTCGGTGCTTCCCCCACACCCCTCATCTTGTAGGAAGCCCTCTCCTTCACCAAGCGCTCGTACATGTGGGCCCGTGCCGCATCGCAGTTCAGACGGCGGCGGTGTCAGCCCTGCGTCTCCAAGCTACAATTATAACACAGCCACCAACAGCGGCGCCCGAAAAGGAAGCATAAGTATAGATGAAGTCGAAAAGCAGATCGATGAGGAGTTGGAGGAGTTGCAGAGGGAGTACCAAAGTACTATTTCTCGTGCCAATGCCGAGAAGCTTCCGCGCCATGTCGTTAATGAGGCTTTGAAAAGAATTTCATCGCACATTGATAGAAAGATGGAACAAGTGGACTTGTTGCGGGCTGCACGTCGCGAACTTGGACCCCCCCGAGCATCAACTGCTGTTGGCAATGGAACCAGTACTGAGCATGTTATTGCAGGCAAGCAGGTGCAGCGCAATCGTCTTGTGAATGAGCTGCGTTCTATGCTAGCACAGTCTGCTGAGAGGCAGTAATATAGTTGTTTCGATTAATAGATCTTCTCTGTGTTTCTTTTAGCCACACATGACCCTTTTTCATAACCTCATGCTTCAAGCCTCCTTATCTGCTCCTATTCAGCATACCCCAAGGCTGTTTTTAGAAAACTTTTTTGAATTGGTTTTGTGATATTGTTTCACTAAATTAACCGTTGATATGTTGTATTTATTACAAGCCCTACATGATTTTTCGTTTATATGTTAGTATTGCTATCATTGTTAGTGTTATTGGCTTATGGTGTTATTATCAAATACAAACGTCACTTTCATACATATCCCAATTACATTTATTTCATCATCTCGGTAGTCACTTTTATTCTTTCAAAATAAAATAATGAAGCCGCGTTCCTCATGAGCACAATTGCAGAAAATTCAGTCAGTGAGGACACAATGTGTGATTCCCTTCCCGAAGGAAAATCCACCTTGTCACGTTATCCCTTGAAGGAAGCGGAACCAGTCTCCGATTCCCATGATCTAGAAAGTACTGAAGGTACGTCCAGTGATATAAGTGGGAAGCTATCGCCAGAACAAATTCATGAATCACTTTCTACATTCAATCACAATCCAGAGGGGCGGCTTGTGTACACAAAAATCTCTTTAGTTAGTCTTGCTCTTCGTGATATTCAGTTGTTAGAGACGTATGTGTTTTTGCAGCATATTACACTGGACAATAATTCACTGACCACTCTTCAATCTTTGAGAGCCTTGAAAAATCTTGTCTATGTTTCTGCAAAAAACAATCAACTGAGTGAGTCTATATTTAACGACCTTGAAGGCAGCGCACGGACGCTTGAAACACTATGTCTTGAGGGCAATGCACTGGAGTCACTGGAGGGACTCCAGAATCTCAAATACCTAACAAATCTTTGTGTTTCGCATAATCACATTTCAAGCTTGCGGTACGTAAACTTTGCCACTCTTTCCAGCTTGTTGAGACTAGATGCCTCCTGGAATGAAATCAGCATTGTGGAGGTCAAGGTGTTCGCAATAAGTCGACTACTTCGTCATATCGATTTATCGCATAATAGTATACGACACCTTCATTTTATGGCCTATGTGACCACTAACCTCGAAACCTTGATCTTTTCGAATAACGAGCTGCCATATCTACCCCTTACTCTGGTGCAATGTCATGCCATGGTAACACTAGACTTATCTCATAATCATTTAGAAAATGTTGAGGATTTTATTGGATTGTCCTCTCAAAAACTGTTGCGTCATCTATCAATCGAAGGCAACCCTTTCCTTCATTCGTCACGGCCATTCGGCGGCAAGAAATCTAACACATTTTTCAACACTGGGGATAGCACCGACTTTTCTACTACCGGAGGCGATACAAAGAACCGTATGGACGATGCTAAGACGCTTAGGCAATTCTTGAGCCATTCGGAGATCACCTATGAAGATGGCGACGGCCCTATCAATGATAACCACCAGGAATTACCCAATCCCTTCGCGGGGGATTCCCTTACAGTCAGAAGAAGCGCGTGTGGGCCATCCAGAAAGGCTACACCCGCACATAACTTCGCCGATCTTACTGCATCCTACGCGTATGGCCTGGTACGTCATGCTCTTGTCTCATGCCGGGTAACGCCAACCCTTTACGAGATAGATCCAACTAGCGAGTTGTTCACTTTTCCTTATGATCGGCAAGTTAGCTTGTATCTGATTTCGATCCTCCCTCAGTTGGCAACACTCGATCGCAACATCATCACTGATGATGATGTATCTCGTGCCATGATTTATTTTAGACCAGCCACTTATGTTCATCCTTGTGAAGAGGATTTAGATGACAGAAATAATCCAAAAGAGGTAGGTTGTTAGCGCGTATTGCCCATCTTTCGCACTCAGGGGGATAGGGGGAACATATGCAAATAAATGTACATACAATGTTTTTTTTTTGCGCTCTTTTGAGCTGATTCGAAAAGTTCATTACTATTCCAAAGGAAGCATACTAACAAAATATGCAATTCAACCAAACAAGAGTAATCGGACACAAAGCGAATTGGAAAACTCTTGTATTGTCACATTTTCCTCTGCTGTGTTCTGCTAATGCATATATGTCTCTAGGGGTTTCTTTAAGAGGGAATATCAAGTTGTTTTACACATTCAAGTTCAACAATACCACAAAAATAACAGTAATAATTGTCACTTGGTTATATTCACCCCCCTCCTCGCAACAAAGGTCTGCTTCTTTTATATATTTACATTGACTTCGTTTTATTCTGAAGGAGCATTGGAAGAACAAAATTATCTTAGGTGGTGCCCATAATTTTTCTAGACTCAACTTGGGGGGATACAAAAAGAATTGGTTTACGCCACCTGGGTATTTTTTTCCCCATATTAGTGGCTAATGGAAGGGGAATCTCCTTTAGTAGTCGAGTGGATTTCTGGCAGAAGAACCGTTTCATTAACCCCTCAAAAAATTGATCCTGTCACCTGCGTCGAGAGTTCCTATAATCCTGCTGAAAAAGGTCAACCCTCAGAAAAGGTTGACGAAGGGCCACAGACACACGAAAGTACGATAGACGCATTTTGTCCTTTGTGTTTCTCTGGCCAGATTCTCAATCCAGTCGAACTTCACCCAACACAAGGACTGTCAAACAGCCGATCATGTCTTGCTTGTGGCGAGTGTGTATCTCAATTCGGGCGGCTCTTGGAGTCTAGGATACACACACATTTCTTCCCATGCCCGCTATGTGGCTGCGAGGTAGCGAACCCTAGCAAGAACCAGGTGATTCCTCAAATAGCAAGCCTTCCTACCTCTCCGATCTCGCTCAACAATCCATCTTTCTCTGAAGCCACGCAAAGCCATTCTGTCACTGGTCCATGGAGTCAGTGCGGCGTGTGTGAGGAAGAACGGTGCGTATTTATGTGCTTACAATGTGGCTTTGCGTTGTGTTCAGCGTGCCAACTGGCTACACATACCAAGGGTCGATTTCGCCAGCATGAAGTTTTGCCGGTAGAGAAGGCGTGGCAACGCGGTCCACGAAAGTGTTCAGCACACCCTGATCAAACTTTAGATCTGTTTTGCCAAACATGCCAGGTGAGTGGGTGCATTACATGCTGTTTCAAGGGAAGCCATCGGGGTCATGTTGTGGTGCCGCTTCCTGAAATCGCGACAGAGACGAAGGAAGCCATGGAAAATCACCTTGTACTCCTTACAAGTGCAGCTCGTGATGCTGCATCCGTTGAACAAGGAGCCAAGCTGCTGTTGCCAATGTACAAGGATCGATTAAACGATGTGCGGGGACAGGTTACCTCTGCTTTTGCAGCGTTGCGGGAGGCACTCCAACAGCGCGAGACGTTTCTTTTGGAGCAACTTGATGCATCCTCGCAGCGTGTCCAAAGCACTATCGAGAAGCATGCAAATGTAGCGTTAACGATCGCGACTGCTTTTCGGACGAGCCACGATGGCCTCCAGAAGCTTCTTGACACGCTTAATCCTGTATCCCTTATGGATTCAGCTGCAAGAATTCGGTGTAGCTACGATGCAGTGTCTTCATTTTTGAACCAGCAAATACGTGCAGTTGAGGGGTTCACCACTAAGCTGGGCACACAGCTTAGGGATCCAGAGGCACGTGAGCGTCTTGCCTCCTTCTTGCTCTTTCCTAACTCACATCTTGCGACCCCTGCAGAGAACGAAACGTCTCTGTGTGAATACAAGGAGCTACTTTCTCATCTTGGACATTTGGAGTTTATAGACGATGTTGAGTCTTCGTGGAACACGTCACAGACACTTGCAGAAGACACATGGGTAGATCATGTCGGTCTGAGCTTGGATAGCGTAAATGCCGTAGTAGGGGTAAATTCCACAAAGGATACTGCTACTAAACATCCGACAACTCAAGCCACATCAGTGAAGGTGTGTGGTAAGGGTGCTCACAACCTCGGCCTTGACATTGGATTCTCCTCTATAGAGGTCAGTCGAGGAGAGGGCATTCAGTTATCAGCGATCGATCCTCGCAAAGTACACATTTTAGGCCAGGAAGGTGCCCTGCAGGGTAAAGCGATGACATCGGAGGAGGAACGGTCTATTTTCCACTTCGCAAGAAATCATGATGCTCAAAAGGATTCGCGGGACTTCATGGTAGAACAACTTAAGGAGGTAGTAAATACACAGAATTCAAGTTTTTATCCAAGAAAGCGGCCTTATCCTCTCAGCAAAACTGCACATGACAACATCAACAAATCGTCTCAGATCTCACAGTTGGTCCCGCAAGGACCTGATTTGTCGTGCTTAGATGATGAGAGACCACATCAAGCTTTTGCTAGAGCCCGTTTAGAGTCTTTTTTTGAGCGTAATAATTGAACCTTCACAGATGCTCAAAGTTTGCATAGAAGGCAAGACAGAAAAATTTTATGCGCTAATATTTGACAATCTAAGCGAGGTAAAAGCCCTATAATCGCAATTTATCTCTTAAAACGAGAACCAAGCGCTTCTTTCTTCTTGAGCAATAGCACCTAAGTTATCCACTCATTATTTTTCTTTTGGGTTTTATTTTTTGTAGATCTTTAGAATAATAATTATTGCGTCCTTTTGGATGAAGTTTAGAGACATCTTTCGTTGTTAATGTTTTAATGCATTAGATGGAGCATTATTGCATTGCCGTCTGTGAGATCTGATTCTCTCACGCCGCCACTTCCTCCGTTTCGTCATTATGGTGGTAAAATGGAAGTTTTTATTTTAGAAAACACGACAAAAAGAGTAATCGATGCGAATGCTGGTGTCTTTTTTTTTTGCGTTTGAATCTCTATCGTAGAATCTGTAGTTGTTCGCTTCAATTCTCTTCGCATCTCAAAAAACTTAACGTTTTTAATATTGACGCTAGCCTAGGTAGCTCCAAATATATTATTTGACAGGAGTGCCCTTCGAGTAGGAAAGGGACTCTGCTCACAATTTTTTTATGTATAGCTAAAAAGAATATCTATATCTGTATATATAGATATATAATGTTATTGCTTCAAAAGAATGAAATTTTAAATGAATATAGGAAACCGCGGCACTCAAAAGTTCAGCCGGAAGCGTATCAACCATCCAAAGATAAACCGGAGCACAATGCGGCTGTTTTGCACAGAGATCCCAATGCATTGGACCAAGGTTCAACCTTAGATGAAAACGGAGGCCTTGATGCTTTTTACACAGTAGGCGAAAATTCTCCCTATACTGGAGTCATCACGAGGGTTCTTGCAAAGGAACAACACCAAAACTCAGCAGCACCCATTGTTTCTAACGTAAAAAATTCAACTAGGTTGCTCACACAAGCGTTGTTGGATGAAACGGATATAAGGAAGACTCCACTTGAAATGCACCCGGCACCCTCTGCTTCCAGATATGCAGAGGAGCAGCTGCTGCCTGTTTTCAAGGAAAATATCTGCGACGCTAGTTCGGATGCACCAGGGGAAGGGAATATGTTCGTAGATCAGGATAATTATTCCCCTATTTCTCCTTCATCCGGTGATGGAAGAAGTATCAGCCATAGCATGAAGGGTAATAGCACGTCGCCTGTCTGTGAGTGTAACGGTGTTGGCGTCGCGCCCGGGGGAGTCTTCAAGGTGTTGATGAGTCCTAGCGTTGTGGAAGTGGAGACTCCCGTGCACAACGATTATGTAGACTTACATCGAATACAAGAAGATATGGATCTGGCGAGTCAATTGAACTCACAAGGCAGAACTCCTCTTGGTGCCGTGAATAATACTCCTCTAGTAGAAAGCAAAGGCTGTAATGAAAATAACACCATGTTGACCTTTAACGTAAGCGCCACGTCAAGTTTCGATGAGGATATTAGTGGTTCTTCTTTTTCAAAACAACAATATAGGTATGGTTTCATTGGAGCATCAGGGAGCAGTGCCAGATGGCATGGCAATAGTGTCAGCAATAACGATGAAAAGGCTCACGAGGGTCAACTCCCATTGGGATTTTTACTGGCATCGAAGCGACTTTCGGCAACCGAAGGTGCATCAATGGAGCTTTTAGCGTCATCCAGGGCAGATTCATCTGCGATTTCAGTGTCCTCCTACGATATGCCACCGCTTCGTCCATCTTCCTCTGAATTAATGCGATATTATGAATTGGATCGCAGAAATTGTGGTGAGCGCGGTGTGATGGTTGCCTCGGCAACAGCTATGACTATGGTTAAAAATAGACAAACACTCTTTAGGAGTGGTAAGTCGATGGAACTATTTCCCTCGCCAAGGTTAGGCACTCAAGTGGATATACCAGTTCGGATAGTCCACTTCCATCGAGAATCTATTTCTTCTTGTAACATGGACTACGATATTGACACTATCGTGGTTAGCCCATTCAATACATCTGATATCTCATCACGATACATAGGTAATGAAAGCCAAAATCGGATTCTGGATTTCCAAAATGAAAGAATTCTGCATACCTTGAAAAACAAACAAATGATTCAAGCAATTTCATTCAGTGAGGCTGCCGAATTACTGCAGGCAGGTATCAATGTTAGCCCTGAACCCCTATCACAGAAAAAGAAGAAGAAGAAGAAGACGTTTTCCTGGTGTTTCTGTTTTGACAAAAATCAAAGTGATACTGTTCTTGACCGTAAAATAATGCAGAATAATGGGGTAGGCTTGACATCACACCCCACCTTAACTACGGTGTCGTGGAGAGAAGGGCTTAAGGTTGTTGCGAGGCTCAAGGGTATCCCTTATAACCACGCAGATCCCGTTCACAAACGTATCTTGTTCACCATCTACTATGCCCTTATAGACCCGAAAAGTGGGAGGCCACGTGATCAAATTGTGCCCATTAGGAAATCCTGTGTGGAGGAACAGGCGGCAGAGGATGTTCAGCTCACTTTTCCGCGGAATCATCCCGTATCGTGGGAAGCGGTCGGCTTTCAGGGCTCTAACCCCGCTACGGACCTTCGAGATACCGGAATAGTTGGGCTGCTGCAGCTGCTTTACATGCTTGCTGGCTATGCCGACCTGACGCAAACCCTTTGGCGTCTCTGTCAATCGCCATATTCCGCTTCCCCTTCTGAGAGCCTTTCTTCCCCGGTCTCCACCCCCCAAGCATCGGCAGGATTATCGATGCTTAGCCAGGATTTGCCTTTTGTTCTTGTGGTGTTAACCTTTGTTGGTCTTTCCTTGGATTTCCTTGAAAAAAAAAAGCCATCGATGTCCCTAGCATCGTCATCTCCGATGCTGGGAGGCGGGATCGACGCTTCCTCGACTGTTGCGACGTCACAGCAAAAGTCTCCTGAGAGGTCCACCACTTTTGAAGAGCCCTCGGTATTTCATGTCTCTCCTGTGTTGTGCGCGGTCTGTGAGTACTGTATAGGGTGCCTACAACTTTTCTGCGAATCGTGGCAGGAGTTGATCGAAAAACGGTTTCCAAATCAACCGACAGTAGCGGATTTTGGATTGGAGAGGTCTCGACTACGCGATCGACTCATGAAGAGTCGTGGCATGGATCTCGTAAAGAATGCTATCAAAAGAGCCAAACAACATGCTTAGTTTCTGAGGCAGTTGTTCAGAATGCTCTTTAAATTTTCCATTAAACGTGAGGAATATGAAGAAAAGAAATGCCAATTACGACGGGAAAACTTCCTAAGGGAAGAGTCAATACTAATGAATAAGTTCTTGCGAATATTTGTTGCAAATGCACGTGTCAAGGTTGTAGTGGCCAACATATTCAAGTCTAGTGCATTTGTAAGTGAATGGAGACAAGCAAAAATGAACTTTTCTTAGCAACGTGCAGCATGTGGGGGGGGGAAGGAATCTTTTAAAGAAAAAATTCAGCGATTTCCTTCACCCCACCCCACAGTAGGCTAAATATATAACAATAAGGATATACCTGCATAAGCTAACTATTGCTCGTTTAAATTTTCTTCTTTACTAAATTTTACTGCTTTATTAACGAATTCATAGTCTAGCCCTTTTTGTCACGAGAGAAATTAGAAATTGTGATAGTATATGATTGGATAATCATACCTTATGTTGATATAAATATATTAAGTAGTGTATATACGTTTGTATATATACAATGGTGTTTATGATATTTTCCAGAGATGATTTTTCTATTCTTACCCAAACACATTGCATTTTAACCCATTTTCTGAGGAACGGTAGTTTCATCTTCTTTAAATTTAAAGGTAAATTTGATTTATAAAAGGGAAGTGTTGTAAAGTCATCTGGATTCAATTCACAAGCTAAGAAATCAAAAGAGAGACCAGTCACTTTCATATTTTCAGTATAACATGACTCAAGAAGCTTCCAGTGACGCGATGATCCGTCGCGTGTGTCGGGCCTTCAGTGGGAGTTTCGCCAAAGATGAAGCCACAGCGAAGGAGCTCGGCAGCGCGTACTGGATTAGTCGCGTCCTCGGCTCAGGTGCAACCGGAACGGTGCTGTATGCGAAACGGGCATCTGATGGTGAGCCGTTTGCAGTCAAGTTTGTCGACATGGAGGGTATGTCTGAGGCTGACAGGAATCGCGCGCAGGCCGAGGTGCATTGCCTGCTGAATTGCGACTACTTCTCGATTCTAAAATGCCATGAGGATCTTGCTAAGAGGGATCCACAGAATCCTGATAATGTCCAAATGATCGCGCTCGTTTTGGATTACGCTAATGCTGGTGACCTACGTCAAGAAATCAGAAGTCGATCCAAGACGGGCCATTTCTTCGAAGAACACGAAGCCGGCATGCTCTTTCTTCAGGTTTTGCTCGCAGTTCATCACGTGCACTCACGTCACATGATTCATCGCGATATTAAAAGTGCGAATATCTTACTCTGCAGTAACGGGCTTGTGAAGTTGGGTGACTTTGGCTTTAGCAAAACATATACGGTCACCGTTTCAGAGGACGTTGGCCGGACTTTTTGTGGAACACCCTACTATGTCGCACCGGAGATCTGGCGTCGCAAGCCGTATAGCAAGAAGGCGGATATGTTTTCTTTAGGTGTGCTCCTGTACGAATTGCTGACACTGAAAAGGCCTTTCGACGGAGCTAACATGAATGAGGTGATGCAAAAAACGTTGGCTGGACAGTACGAGCCATTACCGAGCAAGGTTAGTCCGGAGATGTGCGAAGTTGTAGCGTCACTGCTGAATGGGGACCCGATGATACGTCCTTCAAGTAGTAAGCTTCTTGATACACCTATCTGTAAGCTTTTTATGTCAGGTTTATTGGAGATTGTTCAATCTCAGCCGATCTTCCAAGGGAATCTCCGTGAGACGATTGCTATGCAGATTCAGCAAACAAAGCAACTGCTCTGTCGAGACCGACGTATGTTAAATCGTAAAATGGAGGAAAGTTCCAGGAGTTCCGTATCAATTTTTACGACTATTCTAGAGGGGGCTCAGCCGTTGAACCCTACTATTGGCGGCCTTATCATCTTTGACGGCATAGTTCGCAAGCAAAGCAGTGACATGGTCTGGAAGCGTCGCTATCTTTGCATCCGCGCCGAGCTTCATGATGGGCAAACTTGCGTGGATAATTTAAATCCATCATTCAAGAGCCTTTCCCTCATTTTGGCCGTGTCGAAGGAAACCATGTGGCAGCAGTGCATTCTTACATCTTTTTCGGAGTTGGAGGATGTTTTTCCAGTGCCTAATAAGTATAACAGCTCAAATGCGCCGCACGTGTTCGCGGTAGCGTTTAAGACGGGCAAGCGTCTTTCCTTTCAGGCACGAAGTGATGAAGAAAGAGATTTGTGGATGTCCAAGATTCAGGATGTTCTTGGCATTGGTGATGAAGAAGATAAAAATCCATAGAATAAGGAAAAGGCATTGCAGCATTTTTGATATTCGCTATGTGATATTTGACCTGTTTTTAAGGAAGGGGAAAATGAATATTCATATCAATGAACATTTAGTAAGATGGTGAATATCAAACTAACAAATTTTAGTGCGTTAACTCTTATATAGTTCCCCTATTTATTCTAAGTGCACACATTTTTCTGCTGATCGTTTTTTACCTGTTGTTCATTGTGTCTTTTCGGGCCTTGGTGCGCGGCTTAAGGAATAGCCTTCGTTTGTGTTTTGTAGTGTGTAAAGCAACACTTTTAGATGTTATGATTTTTCAATCGTTCCCTTTTGTTGCTATACGGCGAACTCATTTATTTAAGAAGGTCCTAGGTCAAATTCTTTGAAACACATTTTCTTATGATAGAGGGTCTTCTTAAAAAAATGAGTGCCAATATAGTATCTTGCTTGTTTTTGTACTTCCAAGCGTTTCGCGCATCGTGTAGGCTTCTCACACATCACTATTACAATTACACATGGTGTTCCATTTTTTATTCGGTTTAAAATATATTAGCAATGAAATATAAAAGAAATCTACTTTACATGCGGATATATATATCTAACCACAAGCATTGTTAAATATTTAAACGACGCATTAACTAGTAAAATATCGATACAAACAAACAACGGATGGAAGAAACATATAATGTTCAACGTTGGTTTTCCACTTTCATAACAAAAAAATTTTCAGGGCGTCAATTTTTCAACCAAAAAGAATCAGGATTGACTATATGAATATATTCGAGATACCTATGTGAGCGCAAACAACTTTTTCTCCGTTTAATTGCTTGCGTATTCCTGTTCATCATTTCAATGATACTTTTACTTGTTTTGTATATATTTCTCTTCGAATGATATTCATCAAATTCTACAATGTTTTATTTTTTATACTGAATCTGATTTGCTATTGTTGCTGATATAGATTCCTTAATAAAAAGCGTGAGGGGACCCTATATCATTGTTTTGTTCAGACTCTGCTTCGACTTTGTGAGGGCATTGAGGCAAACCAATACTTAAGCCGATTGCCCGAAATAATACAGTGGAGTACTTTTGTCTTAAGTTGCATCACCCTTAAATGAATAATTCCAAACATTTTCGCATTCGCCCAAAGATTGACTGAACGGAGACAATCCTCAGGAGTAGCGAAAGTATAGAGCGTATGAAAATATTGAATTCTGTATACTGAGGAAAAACTTTTTTTTAAAAGTCAATAGCCTTTTATTACGTCCTTTAATGAGGTCGGCAATCGATACAGGTAAGTCACAACGTTGGGAGCCCCGCGTATTACTTTTTATCATCTTATATATATATATCTATAGATATATATATATTCGTGCTTTTAAGGATCCAACGCGCAATAGAAATGTGTCGCAAATTAAATGCCATCGTACTTTCAATAATTCTTTCTCACATTGATCAGTTTCATTTCTCTTTTCGTTTTACCTAACCGTGTTTTTCGGCGCGCGGATTTCGTTACTTCACAAATCGCTTTTATTATAAGCAACGCATCTTGGAAGAAATACTACTGATAGCGCATTTTTATTGTATATACATATATCTCAATGGGGAAGGTTTCTTTCTTCAGTGAATCCGTTCTATCGAAGATTTCTCCTCAACTATCATCGCCTATCCGTCTCTTCCATACACATTTGCGCTTCAGTGCTCCAAAACGATGCTGTCGTAGTCTATTTGAGTTTACTCGGGGAGACTCGTACGCGTTCGGAGTGGGGTCGGCCGTTGCCACAACACGACGCTTCAATCCGAACGGTGTGCATATCACTCCGATTACACAGCATCCGGAGTACGTTTCGAAGCTTACTGAGCTTAACGAAAGCTTTGAAGAAGCAAGAGAGCTCATCAAGGATTCGTTCGACAGCGCTGGTACTGTTTATTTTGCAGAAGATCTAAACGATGCCAAGGAGCAGACTAATAAAACACTTGAAAAATGGAAAGAACTTGTACAGTGGCTCGAGGATCGTGGTGAAGTATTGACGTTGGAACAGTTTCGAAGGGAAACGACGCTAAAAATGAATCAATTAGAAGAGGAATTGGATGCTGCTACGTGCAAAGGTCAAAGTTAAAGAGGTCTCAATTTGTGAAACAACACTATTACTAGTAATGACTTATGAAATTGTGACTGCACACTTTCTACACATGAATAAAATCGGTTGAAAATTCTGTTTGAGAAGGATACCTGGCTATAGATCCCCTCACCCTCCCTGTCTGAAAATGGTTCCATTCTTCTCTCTCTTTTTGTAGGTGACTCTTTTTTTCTTGAGATATTCAGGTAGATTTTTTATTTTTTAAAAATTTATTTGCCTATTTTTCTCTTTCCTCGTTGAGTGTGATAGCAATGGGTGTTCCAGATTTTCTCAAGTTTGTCGCACGCTCCTCTCCGAGAGCGTTGTGCCGTGTACCACACAGCGGCTCAAAGTCTAGCCTACTGAGGTTCGATTACATTCTCATTGATGCAACAAACGTAGACCAGACGATTGGCATTGATGCGCTTCTAGAATTTCTCAAACTCCCCTCCATCACCGTACGAAAGGCTGTTATCTTCGCGTTAGATTCCCAACGGAGCAGAGAGGGGACGATGCGACACCATCGGCAGTCGCACACGATGATTGGTGATCTGGATGTTCGTGTACAGCGCATGTGTGTTAGTCTAACTGAGCACTACCGGCTTCAGCTTCAGGGTGAAACAGACGGAAGCAGATACGGCTCCGCTCCGATGGTGTTGGTAAGTGGTCGAAACGTAGCTGGTGAAGCTGACTACAAGATCATGGATCTTCATCGCACGATTACTACCGCTCATTTGCTAGTTCAGGAGGGCAACCTGCCAAGCTTTCTTTTTATTTCGGAGGATTCGGATATTCTCTGCAGTGCACTGTGCGGTCCTGCGCCCCAAACCATCAGCATCGCCACAAATTTACGCAGCACTACATTTGATTTATGCATACTGCGAGTGGAACATGTCCTGGAGTACGTCGCGGACTGCGTAGAGGCATTAAAATCGGAAAATGATGCGGCAACAGGCGCAACGAGCAGCGTTACCCTTGAGCAGTCCTCATGCGCTCCACCAATCAAGACAATCGGGGCGAATGCCCCGGATATTCCCTCAGGGCGCCAATACGGGGACGAGAAGCCACGCGACGGCGAGGATGACGTTCCACGAAGGCGGAGGAAAGATGGCCCCAACGTCGCCACCGGGGTTCGGATTGAGCTGACTGAAAGCAGCGCGGACGACGAGGACGAGGATGCGGGGGGCGGCACGTCGACGGCTCCCTTGGAGTCCGCGACAGCAGCACCGGCGCCGCAGCGTGAAGACGCCACGGCGTCTCTGGTTGATTCCCGCCGCGGTGTTTCGCTCAACCAATTTTGTAAAGAAGCCGGTCATATTGTGGGGACCACCTGTGTGGATCTCGTTTTCTTGTTTGTTCTAATCATGGGTAACGGGGCCAACGTTCCACCTCTAGGGCGGGGCGTGACTAAGGTCGACATCGCCTCCTGCTGGCAGGCCTATTGCCACAGAAAGTACCTTGGTGCGACTGCAGATGAGAAGGTAATGGGCCGTACACTGCTTGACTACGGTAGCTCAACTGCCGAGCCGTCTGTGTCGTCCATGAGGGATACCCCCAACGAATCCCAGCACTTGGTCTCACTGTCTCTGGATTGCAGTTATTTGTATTCCATTCTAAGGTCCGTGCATTATGCCGATGATCAGTCCCGCGCACCAGTCGAAGAGGAGAAGGATGCTGCCCGTGAGTTTTTATCCAACGCGGTCTATGTAACCCTTCGCTACCTTATTGGATGTAATCTCGAAGGGGGGGCCACGCTCACGGAGACCTTCCTAGATTCTCGACCACTCCTTGAGGTGGAGACGAGAGCGCCAAATTTAGCGGCCGTGCTGTGGCTGCTTGGGCAGCAGCAGCGGTTGTCTTTTCGGTTCTTACTGAGTGGCTCGGGTCTGAAAAATCTCAATACAGACCCCGCTCTCGATGGTCATCTCCCGGTGGGGGCGGTTCATACGGACAGAAAGACTACAAACACGCCCTCATCTCTTCAGCTTGATGTGCGGGAGGCTTTAGTTTCTCCAACGCCCGCATTCTCTTGGGCAGTGAGAGGAGCGGGCAGCCGCAACTATTTCCTGAAGGTGGTAACGTCCAGCAGGAACGATCCTATTTTGTTTTCCTCTGTACCTTCTCCAGATGGTTGTGGTATATCGGTCTCTTCTTTAGTGCGTCAGTATGCCACCCATCGCGCCGACGCGGTAGCGGCAACGGACAGTAAAAAAGATATTCGCATACCTATATTCAATGCTCTTATTGCGACATGGAGGCGTAGCGTAATGATAGGCATCCCACACCTCCAAAAGCTTTCCAGTGTATCAACTCTCACAGTTTCGGATTCCCCAGCAAAGCATGTCGAGCCAACACATAGCGACCCCTTGCTTGGGGTTTCCATGACGAACACTGTCGCTCAAATTCACGAGCAAACAAACCACGGCAAGAGTAGTGATACCCAGGCTGCGGAGGGAGAAGATTTAGTATACAGTTTTGAGCTTCGCCGCATGGTGCCCGTTCTGTGCAGCACGTCTGGTCAGAGTAATCAGTTAGGGAAGGGTGTCAAGGGTTTTAACTCGTCCGAGAAGGAAGCGGCCTTACGCTCGGTACTTGGAATTTCATTGGACTATACACGCCAGGACTTGGCGACGTCGGATCCAAAATCTGAGCCCACACTTCCTCGGACCACTAGGGGTAGGGACAACAAAGATCATGCTGAGCGCACTCGTGTTCGTAAAATTCCAAGAAAAGAGAAAAACACAAAGGACATGACTGCATCAAGGCCTAAAACTCATAAAGTTCAGCAGAAAGAGTTAGCAACTTCTGCTTCACATCCTGTTAAGAAGATGCGGCCTGGCAGAAAGGAGCGAAGGAAAATGGCTCAGAAGCGTCAAGTTGCAAATACTGAAAAATAAGGTCCAAATTTTGAATGGCATTAGCTTTTGTCTGCATCCAAAGCTGCAGGAATAGTTTACCATCTATTTGTATGCGTGAAGGGATCAATGCGACGACGAGTGTGCAAAACGGGGCTACAATTATTCAGGGAGGGAGAGGCTCACATTTCGATGATTTTTATACTCAATTTTGTTAAGCAGGATGAGTCATTATATTTCAGAGTAATTCATTAATATATTAAATCGTGTAATTCACTTTGCCCTCTACAAAAAAAAAGTAAATAAAATACATAGTAATACTATGTTGTTGAATGGATTCTCGGAGGAAGGAAAACAAAGGTGTTCCACCATAGGTGTTGCGGGTTAAAATTACTGCTGTCATTGCTAGCAATATTATCCTCATTAGTACGCCTGTGTGTCACATATGGGTTTCAAATTACAAAAATTTTCCAAGATTATAGGTTTGGGCGGCAAACATAAATCAAAGGATACTGAAACCAAACAACAAGATAGTTCGACGGGGAAAATTGTGCAAGAGTCGCAATCCCCTAGGTTGGAGAACAAGAAAGGCCAAATACAGAATGAAAATATTGACACTGCCATTCAAGAACGGCAACCGTCTCCCGTCGAAGAAGCTCAAACAGCACCAGTGGAGCAAAACCGAGCAGAGGTGCGAGTGAGTTCCGTTCCAGAAGAGAGGTTACACAGCGGCAGCTCTTCCATTCACGGTTCTCATTTCGTGACAGGTTCCTTTCCACTCTGTGAGCAGGAGAATGCAAAGGGAGACAATTTGGAAGCACAGGAAGTTCATTTCCGTGTAATAAATACCCCAACTGAAAGTAGCGATGAAATTAACATTTCTCTTGACCACAGCGATGAGATTGAGAGCGCAGCGCATAGCTCCAAGCCCGCTTCGGACCCTGGGACCTCGGAACCACGTTCGGTTTCTTCGATGAAGCAGAAAAGTGATAAATCTGAAACTCTGAAGAGGATTAGCTGTGAGACGGTCTCCAAGCCGATACGGCCTCACGCGGGTGAACACGTTCCCAAGTGTTCGTCATCTTTTTCTGAATCCAAATCGGTAAGTTTGGACAAAGACAAAGACCAGCATTCGACGAATACTTGCAAGGATGCTAAAAGAAGCCGTTCGAGGCAGCAAACGAACAGGATTGAAACAACACCCGTTTTTAGGAAAAAAAGCGTCGATCGCAAGCATGTAGCAGTAAAGGAAGTCTATCATCCCTCGTGCGTCAAGAAAGTCAACTATGAAGGGTCAGATGTGCAAGTCTCTTCTCGGCATGAAATTGTGCGGTCAAGTGTGGCAGTGTCTCCGAGTGTCGTGCCCTGTGGGGATTCAGCAGCCTCAAATGGACGTGCGAGGCCTCCCTCGAATTCAAAAGCACATGCTTTTCGGATTAATCAAATTTCTAGCTACGGGGTTGAGAAAAAACGCTCGCCATCAATGTCTTCTGATCGTCGTTCTGTAATTTCAGGCTTAACATCTTCTCATCTCTCAGGACCGCGTTCTCCTCGTTATTTATTGCCAAACCGCAAAAGGGACCCTCTTTTACACGGACGTTGCGCTCCAAGAAACGTTGTGAACCAAGACAAGGATGGCATCGCACCCGATGTGTTGGAAGTCATTTCGAAATGTAGTCAAAAGGGACGAAGCTCGCAGCCTCTGAAGCGTGGTCTCCCTTTGCGTGTATCACCTCATCAGCGGAATGGTTGCTTACAATATGCGGGATTACACGCAAAACTCATGACTAACGTGGTGCAGGATTTGTCACTCACCCAAGGATCATCGGATCATTCAACCCCAAAACGATACAGTGGAGAACGTGAGATGCGTCACTCAGGGCACAATCATGTGAATCCTGTAGATGCAGAGTGTGAGCCATTATGGAGCTCGAACTCTTCGACCTTGTCTTTGTCGTCTCCACCACATGGCGTGGAAAGACCCCACAGGACACCCTTGCGTAAAGAAAGGTCTTCCCGTAGTAGCCATCAGTCTGTAGAGCAGCGACGTGAAAATTACGAAAGAGGTATGAGTTTGCCCCAACGTAATAGCTATAGAAATGCGTTACCAAACCATCATCTAGCCTCTCACATATCCCCGTGTCGCTGTGGGTTTCAACGCGGCCATGTAGCTGACGATCATCGCGACCTCCGAGGATATCGGGAATCCCGTTCGACAGGAAACTGTTTACCCCGCCATAGTCCAAGGCCTGGGGAAATTGAGACTGACAACGACTCATTCTCAGGCTACGCCCATCATTCGACCTCGTTGAGCTCCCCGCTACGACGGGACACTTCAGGCTTGCGTCCGGCTAGAAATGTGATGTTGGGTCGTCAGTATTTGAAAACTAGCCCGACGCACATGCTAAGCCGCCGCACTTCTCCGAAAGCGGCACCTTCTACCCATCTCTCGTCCCAACGCGAAGCGTCTGCATCCGAGGAAGAGTACATTCTGGATGAAGTCCAGTATAAGTTAGACCTACTTGCTGAGGAAATTGCGAATCGTGACTATAAAATAGAGCAAGAAATGCGGTCAAGTCCGTGGAAGCGTCTTTACCATCACAGTAATCGTCAAGAACGGGAGGAGAGGCGTGCTTTGGTGGCTCAGTTCAAAAAGCTCGCGAAAATTCGTGGGAAGATTGAAAATGGCACCATCCATGAGGAGATCAAAGCCCGAAAGGACCGGATACGCAAGCAGGAAGAAGTCCTGAACGATCCAAATGGCGTTTACCTGCGTTTGTACAATGCGAGACATAGCGCCCGCACTACTGAAGGCAGCCCGAACACGAGCCGAGGCAGCTACTATGGTAGCACCTCAGGCAGCGCACATGGCCGTGTTCAAAGGAAGCAAGGCGGATCCGATGGGCGACGGGGCCGCGGTAACGCTTCTACGTTCGCCTCTCCATCGGTGTCTGGTCGATCTGGAGACCACAGCCATGGGGCGGTTCGCCGCACTGAGGCCCAACGGGAAGCCTTCTTTAGCAATATGTACACCAGAGCAATGACCGAAGTTCGAGAGAAGGAAAAAAAGGTCCAGACAGCACGCAAAGAGAAAGAACAGCACGATTTGGATGAGCTTGTGATATCCCGCCTGACGGCGCGTGTTGAGCGTGACCTTCTTCACGGGCGGCATTATCGAAACAAGGATCCTCTCGCTGTGGCCCAGAGCAAATGGAAAAAACAAGCTAGCAAGGAGGATAGCGCTGTACAGACTTTCGTCAACCAGCTCATTCACGGCCCCAAGCTTTCTCTGAGTGAACAAAAAAGGATGGCGTCCCGGCTTACTGTGCAAGGCTATATCAAACCAGAGACCCTACAAAAAAAACAGGAGGAACAGGAGATGAAGGGGTGCACATTTCACCCTTGCATTGGAGATTATGCTGGTCTGAATAACTCCGCACGACGAAGTGCAGTTTCTCCCAATGCAGGTAACCGGAAGGGAAGCGATAGCGGTTTATCCCGAACCGATGGCTCTGAATATAGAGGGAAATCTACTGGAAAGAGAAGTGACGGCAGGATAGCCGAAAATTGTTGCAACAACCTGTACAAGAAAGCTTTGCAGGGAAGGGAGAGAGAGGAGGAGAGAAGAAAGGAGTATGAACGGCAGCAGCGCCTCAATATACTAAAAAGCCGATTGTCTAGCGACCATCACTTTCGAAGACGGGTTGAGCTAAACCCATCTTTGGCGGAACATTTTATGAGTTCACTTTCTGTATAAAGTGCGATGTAGCCTCCAAGTTGAATATCAGCAATATCAAGCTTGAAGTCCCATACGCTTTTACCATAACTGTGACCTTGTATCAAATTACCATGCATCCACACTTTGTTTTAGATCAGGATTTCTGTAAGGGCAGAGATTTATGAGCTCCTTTGGCATGAGACATAGAGCTAATGATAACTTTCCTTTTTTTTACATCGCGGAAAAAACACCTGTGCTCTGAGTGTATCCATTGAGTGTAGTCATGCTTTGGTGCAACAGCAAAGAACACATGGCAAGTAAAAAGAACAACAACACCGAGAATATATGTATAATCTAGTGTCCTGTGGGATCGTTTGTTTCAGTCAATATTCAAAACAAAACTTGCAGTCAAATGTAATGCATGCATTTAAAGAATAAACTAAAACATCCATTTTATTTGTACACCAAAATAAAAAAAGCAGTTCCCCAGAGCACTCTTCGGCATACCAAACACACAACTGCAGTGCACAAGGTGACGCAAATTCCCAAAAAAACACATCGTGGATGGAAAAGGGGATACAGATAAGAATAACAAAACTGATGAGAAAAATTCACCTTGGAGTTGTACATAATGCTTCAAATGGTGTTAGACCAATCGTGCTTACAACCCGGTGCATCAGTGGTCGAGCTTTTCGGCCGTTTGGTCCGCATCTTTTGAATCTCACTTCGTTATTGACGTTTTCTTCTTTGCTTGTCCCGATGCGATACAGCGCGACCAGTTCAAATGAATCTACCGCATCGCATTGCAAGCACTCTTCTGTTCCTGCAACCTCGAATCCCATGGAGCTGCTCACACATATATTTGGAACACATCCAACTGCCCTGCGTCTGCATCGGCAGCTCATCATCTCATTGGCCAACGGAGATGCGGAGTCCGCGGTGGATCTGGCTTCAATACTGGCGCATACTATCCGTAAGGTTCTCGATAAGGAGGAGAAAAACACTGATTCAGCGTCTTCGATGGAATCGGATCTTCAGACAGGAAAATCTCCTGAGGATAAATACGCTTTACCTCTTGCGTCTTCAGACGACTTAGACGAGTCCATGGCAATCGCAGAGAGGCAGATAAGCAAAATGTTGGCGTCAGAAGATCTTAAGCAACTCCAAAGTGGTGCACCGGAGATCGCTCAAGGAGTGGGATCACTGAGCAGCCCTCGTCCGTCTTTTTGGCGCTCCCCGGATTATCTCTGCATCACAACCCTCGAATCGATCTACGAGGCGGTCTCCTCTGAAGGGGGCGAGGACGGCCCGCTTACGGTCGCTGGGGAACGCGGCATCGTGCAGGAAGGGCAGGAGATGGCGATCTTGGATCAGTACCTCGTGAAGGAGGCGGGCCGGCTCAGTGCACAAAAGAATGCGGTGGCGAAAACGATTTTGGAAGTGGCTCGGGCACTTGATCTGATGCCGGAGGATTTGCACGCCGCGGAGGGGGCGTCACTTCGTCATGGACTTGTGCAGCCGCATTCTCAGCAGCTACCCGGTGATGCATCCCGCATCAATGCCCTGCGCCACTGCAATCTCGTCGTCCGGGCAGAAGTGCCCGATATGGGAATTCAAAAGGACGATGATACCCTTAATGTCAGGATTCGTGAGGAGCTTTCGATACTGAAGAAGCGTATGCGTGAGAGCGGAGCACCGCTTTCGGATACTGAAGAGAAAATGGCAACTTACGAACTTGTAATGATGCATACAACCATGCGTTACGTGGTGGGCATTCACCGAGACCTGCAGGTCGCCCTCGATCACAGTGCGGGTGTTACGAAATACATGCAGAAGTTGGGTGTCAAAAATCAAAAAGGTTCTGCTTTCTTCATTCAAAGAGTAATGCAAGCATTGCACCTTACCCCAGAACAGTTAGCAAGCCTAGAGGGGGACGAAACCAGCGCCGATTATCCCTCCGTGGAGCGGCTCGAGCGAACAGAAGCCATGCAACGGCCTGTGTTGCCCTACACTTACATGCTCAAATGCTGCTTATGGTTTAATATTCCATCAGGAAGCGAGAGTTAAACCGAAACAAAAAACTGCTAGAGTACACAGAACTCCAGCAATTTTATTTCTCTTCCATACGTGTTCATTACTTCCATTCGAGTTACTCACCCTTTTTGTAATCGGTGTACCGAGTCAATAAAAAGGACTTTTCGTGAATTGAATGCTAGGCTCGAGATATCCTATAGTGTTCCGTTTTGAACTGCAACTTTCCATTTTTTTTCCGAACATTTTTCATGTATGTAGTGTCACTAAAGCGATTAGCCTTTGCCACCCTCCTCCCTCCCTCTCCATTGATTTCTTTGCCAGGTACTCATTATCCAGACTAACGCTAACCTCTATCTAGCAGAGAGTAGTGTGTTCTTAAAAAAAGAGTAGACAGGAGGAGACTATATTGTCTTTTTTACATATTTTATTTTATTGTAAAATAAGCATTTATACTTATTTTGCTCTGTGAAGCAAACGCGTCTTAAGCAACAGCGCGAAGAAGACTTCGCAGCCACCCTCTTACCCATCTGAATCATCCTGTCCATCTAGTAATCCCGGTTCGAGCTCTTATTCGCTGATTCTATACCACAAGCGGCGCCCCTGATTCTCAAAATGGAGAATTTGAACAAAAGGAAGAGTACCAACATGGATGAGTCGCGAAGAGTTACCATCCTAAGGAGGAGAGGTGAGAGAAAGAGAGTAGTCCCAGAAGCTAAAAACGCGGATTCGAATAGGAAGTTGACCTCCTCGACATCGCATTCGCGTATCATCACCAGCTTTTCTGGCGGTATCATTCCTGAATACAAGGGTTACATGCCTCGTATCGGCCACACGGCCTTTATGTATAATAAGAACTTCTACATTTTTGGCGGGTTGAATGCAAAAGGTCATTTTGTAAATCACTTTTGCTTCCATGAAAAGCGCAGCTTTCTGTGGAAAGAGATGCGTGGGGTTGGAAACGTGCCAACTGGTCGTGCGAATCACTCTTTGGTTTTCTGTGAACCACATAAAATCATGATTTATGGTGGCCATCGAAACTTAGAGGTATTCGATACTTTGTACACTTTCAACTTATTGACTAGTCAGTGGGATAAGATTAACTATGACAAAAGTAATAGCCCAGGTCCCCTTTTCCTCCACGCCGCGGTGTACGTTCCAGCGACCAATAGCATGTTTGTCATAGGTGGGTTTCACCAGCGCGCGTACAATATGTATCTAGGGCATGTGTTTGACATTCGCAATCGTGTATGGTGTGGGTTTCCAGGGCCTAAGGGAGTTGATTCACAACAATTGCAGTTTGTTACTGCCACCTATCACGAGCCATCGGCGTCTATAGTCATCCTTGGACTTAGGGAGCGCGACACCGAGGGGCAGGATGGAATGGCAACGCCGTTTGTTTACCTGCTTAACGTTAATACTTTGATCTGGACTCGGGTGCAAACCTCCCGGTCTTCTGAGAGTCCAGTTCTCTTTCGAATGGACGTTGTCTGGAGTACTTTTCTATGTGAATTTGTGATGATGGGGGGTTTTTACGACGAAGGTCAGCAAAGCTGGTATTTTCCGCTTAATTTATCGGAGCTGACCGTCCTAAACGAGGCTGAGTCACCAGGTGGTGCAGCCTCGCCTCAGTCAAAGTCTTTGCTTGATGTCAATTCAATGAGTCCCTCCACTGTGTCCTTACAGACTAAAAAAGGTTCCTCCTATGGTTTCTTCAAATTGCAACTGAATGACTTCACATGGTCTGTGGTTGAATCGAAGTTTCCACGCAGCATCCTGAAGGGGTTAGTGGCTAAGACTCGGGAAAGGATAAATGAGCAAATTATGCAAAGTAGTTTTGATGAATATTCGAATATGTTTTCTCCCACCCACGCAGGCCGCCCGCGATACCGCTCCATGAAGCGTTCCTCTGATAGCCTGTCACCCAAAGGAGAAAACTTGTCTTTAAAAGAACTAGCATTGATTTCCAGTAATACGCTCATGGCCACCCCTAAACCAGTAAGCAAAGCTTTGTTGTACACCGTCAAGGGCGCACCTATTTTTTATCGTAAATACGCCTATGCAGCGTATTATCACACCCCTAGCAATTCTGACAAAAAAAGGGTGAGACAATTCCATTACCTCATTATGCATGGTGGGCTGCGGCCCGGCGAGGATTACGCTATGTTGATGTTTACACCAGAGAATGGCCGTACTGGATCACCTGCTAAGCATGAGCGTGTTGATTCTTGTGTGGAAGTGAGTATTATACGTGATAACGAAAGTGATTCGAGTAGCTTTTTGAATGCCGTTCATAACAATTCTGAAGGCACGTTCAAACGCGTTTACGGGGAAACTCCATTGCCGCTAGACGATGAGAGCATCAATCTGTCGTTTTCCTATCCTGATAATGCCCAACTTGATGTGAAAGATGCACTGCCAGTTAAGCTTCCTATGATAAGTGGCGCAAACGATGCACTCCTGAAGACTCTCCCCGCCAGTGGTAACAAAGAAAACACAAGTCCTTTTGCCTTACTTTACCACGAAAACAACTCCGTTACCCATTTTCCCCATTTGTTACTCTATCCAAACTGCCCAGTCGCTGTCTTACGCTCCAAGGCGGACGTTAACGATTGGGCAACCTGCTTTTACTCCGACTCACGAACGTGGTTAGCGGAAAGGCTGAAAGAAGCGATAATGCGGGATCGAAAGGAAAGAAAGAATTTGCGTTTGCAGAAACAGCATCAAAAAAATCAGAAAAGGGACCACGCCATTGCTCGCGGTCGTGGGGACGCTGGGCTCCATCTGAGCAATACGGAAAGTGATTCCGACAGCAGCGAGGATAGCAGCAGCAGCGAGTATAACATGGAATTTGGTGATCCTATTCCAGGAGGTTTATCTGGATCCCAAGGACACAGTAAAAGGCGTGATACTAATTCCTCTGGCAAGATATTTGCCAACATGCCATCCCCTCAGAATCTGAAGGACGAGGAAGAGGAGCTATTCCAACGTGATTTCTTTACCAGAAATGACCTGGATCTGTTTTCTCTCATGCCAAGACACTTCTCCAATGTTCTTGGTATCAACCTCCCGAAAGATTCAGAAGTTGATACAGAGGAAGAAATTATGAATTTATTCAATAACATCGGTCCTGGTCGCCTGCACATGAATGTAAAGCGTCGGGCCGAGATTCAGCGGCTTCCAAGCGCAATTTTTCGCACCCCTTTATCCTCAAAGAATGAAGTTGTGCACCATGTCGGGGACTTGGGTAGCGCTACAGCCTACGTTCTTATGAGCAACGCATTAAAACTGCTTGAGGGTGACTACTCACCGGAGGCCTGCGCGGCGCGGGCGCGGCTTCGGTGGCGCTTTCTGCGTGCTATGGTTCGGACTGGAGAGGCCGCATTTATTCTCTACCGTGTGAATCGAGTCGAAACCAAAAAGAGGGCCTTTCGGGTAACAAGCTCTCTTGGGCTGCTGCTAGCGCCAGAGCTGCATTTGGTAGGCCCGACGCGGACGCACAAGGTGCCCTCGCGACCAGTCCCGTACGTCCTCCCGCGGCAACGACAACATCTACACCTCTCAGCGGAGGTCACACCAAGCGGCATGATGGTGTATAAGAACCTGAGGCGCAATGCGATGTAATCTGTCTGAGGAGAAAAGGCGGGACATGAGGGAGTGAGAGGACAGGAAAAGAGAGAAGACAAATGTAGTATTCATCTCTAGTTTTAGGTCATAACTTGAAGCATTGGGGGATCTATCCCGTTAAATGTACATTAGCATCGACAAAAATTGTGTTGCTCTTTTGTTTCTGCTGTGTGGCGTTAGCCCGAAAAGCCCACAAACAGGTGGAATTTTGTGGCGCGCTCTTCTTTTTGTTTATGCTTTTGTGTCGTTCTTCTTCCTTCAAGGGTGGGGAGGGGTGAGGGGGGGGGGGGCTCAATGAAAATTTGAATGATGTAAAATTTTATCTCTTTTATTTTTTTTTAAAAGGGAAAAATAGATTAATCCATCGAAGCAATGGAAAATTTGAATAGTCTAGAGCAAGTTACGTTGACCAGGGAATACATAAAGAAGCATCGTTTGAATGAACTATTCGCCCACTTTCTGAAGCTTCTTCTATATCATCTTCCGGAAGATCCTCGAGGGTTCTTATGTAAGGAAATCACGAAAATCCGTGATGAAAAGACCCGCTCGTCTTTTTTCAATGAGAAAGACCTTGAAACAATGTTTGAGCTAATAGACGTGACTCGACAAAAGTTTATCACAGAACAGCAGCTGTGGAATACTTGTCGTAATTTGTCCATGAATGAAAACGAGGATGCTGATAGCGAACAGTCCAGCTCTACCCAGCAAACATTGGAGCAAGCTATTGCAAATGCAGTCGACGAAAATGGTCACGTAACGCTAGAAAAATTCAAGGAAGTGGTTTCCATGTCACTCCTCGTCACAAACGTGTCCGTTGAGTGATTCAGAAATTAAACTATAGTGGTATTTATGTCATCTTTTCGAATTGTAAATCTATAGTCGATCATGTTAGATAGAACTATGAAGGAAACTTAGCATGTAACTTATATAAGCCTTTCTGAGGAAGAGAAGAAACACCTTAGTCGCTGTTTTTGCCTCATTTTGGATTTTCCACGAAAACTTCTGTTTCAAACATGCTTCTCAGAAAAAGGTCCTATATTACACCTGGTATAGGAAGTTATACGTGCAAACGTATAGACTGCATCCAAAAATTTCCCTTTGCTCAATGAAAAGGGGTTGGTGAAAAATAGCACCACATATTGCTCTACTTTAGCTATTGAGTAGTTTTTCTTGTTAATGCTCGAGAAACAATTATCAGCTCTCTTAGCTCACAGTCTAAGTTGCTACATCCGAGACTTAAATGAAGAACAGATACAGGTGTCGTTGTGGTCTGGGAATCTCGTTCTCAAAGATGTGCACCTGAAGCCGGATATTCTTGAGCAAATCGCACTACTAATTTTACAGTGGCAGAAACAGCAAGGACAGCAGGAAAGTGGTATTCATGATTCTGATTCTTCCCATAATAATTCCTCTGCAGAATGTGCTACTGATGATATGAAACACGCAGCAGCAGCTCAGACCCTGCTGATGCCTTTCACAGTTGTCAAGGGACTCATTCGGGAGCTAACCCTCCGCGTTCCGTGGTCTAACTTGGATCAGGAGCCGGTGAGTGTTGAAGTGATGGGAGTGGAATTAGTGTTTGCACCGCTTCGCAGCCGACCATTCAACCCCGGGGAGGAGGAAGCACGCCAAAGTGTCATCCTACAGGACCAGCTTAGCCTTTTCGAAAAAAAACGTCATGCTGCAAATACTACGATGGCGGCTGTTTGTGAAGAGACTTCAGGAAGCAAGGAGATGCAACAAAAAAGCACTGCCGGCGGCGATAAGCCGAGTATGTATGTGAATAGTAAGAGGAACAAAAAAAACAGCAAAACTTCCTCAATTTTCAATTTAGACGGGGTATCGACAGTTATGACATATGTGGAAAAACTCGTGCATTCCCTCGCTTGCAAAGCGCACCTAGAGATTCGTTGTGTTTCTGTACAGTATATCTTTGACTATCCTGGTCTTCACCCAAGGCTTGCAACCGCGCTGTCGATTTTTGTGGATGAAGTTTATATGGACCCTACAAAGGAATCCTTTGGTGAGCACTTTGCCGAAGATTTTTCTGCGCAGCAATTCAACGCGGTCACGGTGAAGGGTCTTCGTATGGCAGTGCACGCAACCCGAGCCTTGCACCCAACTCCGACGACGTCACAGAAGGTAGGTGAAGGGGCATCAACGGAATCCTGGTCTCAGAAACCTGCATCGTCAGAACGTCCAGCGGCAGAGAAGGGAAAGAAAGAGAAAGCTACGACGGACCCTTTTGACATGCAGGAGTGCTTTCAGGCTTTCTGCGAGAAATGGAAACATACCGAAGTTCTAATCGAACTGAGAGACGCACTGTTGAATATTAAGGTGGGCTCTGATAACGGAGGAAAATTCCCAAATTCGCAAGAAAATGCTCAAGGGGAAAAATCCGAGAACACACATGGGGCTCGCACGTATGATTCCTCATCGAGGGCACGAACCGTTCTAGAAGTATCGCTTGGATCTTTGGTTCGCTCTCAGGCCTCCTTCGGTGCTCTGCTGGCATTGAAGACACTTGTGTGTTCTTTTCAGCATGGGCTTGTCGGGGCCCCTCACCGCAAGTATTTGCATTTGTTGAACTGCAGCGATGATTTCAACCTTGGGAATAGCAGAGCGGAGAAACGGTGGGCCTTTGCGTTAGCGTGTGTACGAAATGCTATACAACAACCAAAGCAACGTTTGTCCAGTGGTGGTAATGAAACTAGAAGTGTATTGGAGTCCATGATGGACTTCTGCAAAATTCGACGCTTGTACTGCGGCCTATTCAAGCGCTTACAAGGGCTCTCCTGGCTACCCCCTTTGGATCTAGAGGAACGTAAAGAAATTATCAGATTGGAACATCAGCTTACCATTGAGCAGATCCTTTTTCTGCGTTGTCTATCCCGCGCCGAGCTGGGAATGGAGGTGGAACTAAACAAGCTTCAGAAACGATGGATCGCGTCTGCTGCAGCCCTCCGAACAAAGCCGTCAATTTTGTCAGGTCCTTTCATTTCAGAAGGGTATACAGGGAGAAGGGGTAGGAGGGGTCTTTTGGGTTGGTTTCGTTGGGGCGGGAGCGAGAGGGATCAATTGTCCATCTCGGAGTTCGCATCAACTGACATCACGAAACCTTCGACGCCGAGAAAGGAAACCGGACTAGCGATCTCTATGAAGGCCTCAAGTTTAGAATCGATTGATCCTGAAGCTTACCGGTTTCAGCTATTTCATATGGAGTGGAGCATTGCAAAGCGATATCTTGCCCGCCTTGAGATCCCTGACCTTAAGGAGAGATATAGAACGTTGCACTTCTCAGACCTTTTTCGCTCTCCATCCTCATCGACTGAGAAAGGGGACGACTTGAATTTCATGGCGCAATCTTCTGGTCTGGGCCTCCTCCTTCTCGTTCGGTGTAATGCGCTCGAGGTGTCATTCATCCCGCGTTACTGGACAGCAGAACTAAGCGATATTTCAACGTCAGACTTCTTTTTTGCACATTTAGATCAAAACCTAATTGTACGTATGAGTAATATCGAATGGTTTTACAACACAGTGCAGGAACCACAAGACGATCGATCGGGCCTTTCAGTCTTCGTCAAATCGTTTTCCGCATGCTTCACAGGAACTTTTAATACGCCTTTGTTGCAGTCATACGAGAGGGACTTCCCACAGAAACAGGAAAATGAGGACTTCTTGGTTGTCAAACGCAATGCAACGTGCACATGCATGACAGTGATGGTGTCGCCTTTCTTGATAATACTTCGACCCACGCATGAAATGCTGTGGTGGTCGAAAGAAATTTTCCAATTCTGGTGCGTCTTTAGTGAAGCTTACATGGGCACCTCTTTCTCAGTACTTTCGTCACCACCTTGCGCAGATCCCCTGATGGATACCACACCAGACTTTTCCACCGAGGAACTGCCTGTCGTTCCGCCAACACCAAGGAAACCATTTCCGCTTGTGAACGTCTATGTATCCTACTTTGACATTTTGGTACCACTTTTTATCAACGATATCACTTCCCCCGGAGGGGATTTTAATGATAGCACTAACTTCAACATGTATCCACAATCGTCAGATCTGGAATCGCATCGAGCATCTACGACACTGGCATCGAGTCCCTTTACGCAACATCCTCACAGCACTACTGAGGTTGAATCTTATTTTGAAACAAATGCAAAGTTCGCTTCCGGTCTTGTGCAAGTTGTGCAAAGCAGCCCAAGCGGACGAAACGAGTTTCTGAGCCCCTCGTTCAACTACATCGCAGATGAAAATCTATTTTTTGATGAACCTTATCTCGTACTTTCCATTCCATGTAGCACTTTAAAAACAGTACGAGGCCCTTCAAAATGCTACAAGGGTCCAGAAGAGGAAATTCTGATCACCATCGGCAAGGAACTCCGCGGCGTTAGGTTTTATTGTCAACCCGGTAGCATGAGGCACCGGCGACTGTCGTTGACCAGCACGCTGGAAATTTTGTCTGTCACCAGCATCTGTGTCCTTATGAATCCCTCTGAGGTGTCAGTAGGCTTGTACAACGGGATGGAAGTGAGCCTCGAGCCGTATGTGATAGCGCTTCTCAACGATCGCTTGCTGAAACCATGCATTCTTCACGACACTGAGCATCAATCAAAGACGCAATTTATTATTGATACTCTTGACCGACAGTGGAATGCTATCCCGAATGCGAAGGAGGGCTCCTGGTATTTTACGTCACCGGAAACGCTTTGTCTAGATAGAAATGCCTCGACAGTGACACCCATACCACGTCATCACGGTCGCGAGTATGCCACGTTGTTGTATAGATGGATGGCGGAGCACCATTGCGCACTTGCGCGTCAAACGTCCAGAACGAACATGCAGGTGCGAGTCGATGACACTTCGAGGGAAAATACACAGCTAGCGTTCTGTCACAGCAAACGCACATATTCTTTCTGTCTTGAGTTCACTCGTGTGTTTCTGCGAAACTTCTCCCATGAGGATGTAGTAGCGGTTGAGCTGATGCGTCCAGCTGAAGTCCCAGTGGTGTTCTTGGAGTATCGGCACTTTTTTGAACACTTTTCTAAGGGAGCACACGCCTTGGAAGTGATAGTGAGTCCATCAGATTGCTCCTGTTTTGCGTCACTTGCGGATGTTTCCATTACAAATGGGGCCAATAAGTCTTTGGGGACCATACAGTCTCTTTATGTGAATGCTTCTCCTAAAAGCAATGCCTTGGTACACGTGGATTATTTGACAGTTTATCTTCGCGAAGAATTTGTAGAGTGTGTGGAATTAATCCTGGCAACAACCAAAACCATCAAACAGTCGACGCTCTTACAGCCTCAAAAAGCTTCACAATCACCGCGAAATGCAGCCTCATCTGATTTTCTTGCATCCTCTTGTCTTCTGAGCATGCCCTGGAAAGTGGAATTCGATACGCTGTTAGTGGAATTGCCCTACACCAAGCTAATGGACTACCCATACCGAGCTTTTTCGGTTATTCACAAGAATTTTTGCATTAACAGCAGAGTAGAGGATCAGATAGCGCATATGGAATTGAGTGGGTGGATCTCCAAAGCGCTGCGAATTGAGGAGGATGTCGCTTTTGAAGAAGTACTTGCACCCTTTGTCGTCTTGGGCCCAAGTATTGGGCTGTGTGGCCCCGCTGAGGAGTTGCGTTATGCAATGTCACTGAGATGGCCTTTGCTTCAGACACTTGCCACAGACATTGAGGGGCCTGAATGCTGCTTCCGCGTCTGTGGTGGGCATATTGCGGTCTACATGCCTTTTTTTATGCAAAGCATGGATTTAGCGAGTAACTCTTTTTACGCAAAGCTCTTTAACCTCAGACAGTCCCCTTTGGTGAAGTGTGGTCTGTCTCTGTCTTCGAATGTGTGGGCAGCCTCAACTGATATTGCGCATGATGCTACAGACGATACCACAAAGCCCAGGAGCCCGTCCCGTTCTCCCTTCTCATGCTGCTCCATACGATTTCACGGCCTAGTTAGCGATTTGGACGTCTTATTAGCCTCTAATTCCAATTTACCCCTCGACATATCAGATGAAAGCACTTACTTTTATCTGCATCTTGGAGAGCTCTCCTTTCGAAGTGCCGTATTAAGCACCCAGAACGAGTCTTCTGCGCCGCTTATCCCCTCAACATCTGGATCTATTAGCACGCTGCCTGGAAGCATTTCGATAGATGTTAGGAAAATATTCTACTCGCCCTTCAGTGGGCGGCCGCCTTCCCCACTCTTGATGGAGGTGGGACTAGTTCTCACACTCCGAGTATTGCTGGAGCTGAGGGATGATCTAACTGGGTATAAATACACGGCTTCGGATAGGAGCACCGATTTCACTCTGCTCATTGACGTGTGTCCGGTGGATGGAATGACACATCAGGAGAGTGTGAGTAATAAAGGCCATACACATTTACCCAAGAGCGAGGCTGACATCGTCAATGTGATTATGTCGGTTCGTCGGATGGAAACGCTTCTTGACGTGATAAAATTCAACCTTATGATGACCTCATTCTCTAACGTGAATGGTGGATCAACATATGGCACAGTTAGTATGTGTTTATCAAACTCTACACCTATGGCACCCGGCGTTTTCCTTTCACAATCTGAGATCCTTCAACATGATACACCTCGCGCAAATCTTTCATCGCCTCGAGTATTCTCGTCCTCAGTGACCCAGCCATTGAGGTTTACCACCATGCTGACGATGTCGCCCATGCGTCTTGGGGTTTTCACTCATGACAAGCAGTTAATCTCTTTCAAGATTCTAGGTGGGATTCAGAACTACTGCGCGCGAGGTGGAAAATGGTCTCAGAGTGTTGTTGCAAACCTTCAGATTCGTGATTTGGTTATCGATGCCGTGGATTACAAGATAGCGTCATCGGCAACATGCGATATGACACCCTCACCTTATCCCTCAGAAGAATCACCGAAAAGGAGGGGTGGCGGTGACGCTGCCACAGGCTTAGGCTCGGCCTCACTCGTTGCAAGATCTCTACTAAAAGTGCGTCTCATGGGGGCAACGATGGTCTTAGTAGAAAATGTCTCGCCATGTCGTGGTCAGCAATCCTTTCCATTCCTTGTTGAAGGTCTTATAGAGGATGCTGAGGTTTACACCGAGTTAGATTTGTGGCTTACTCTGATGAAGCTGTTTTCAGATTTTATGGTACGGAAATCCTCCCAGACAAACGTGCTGGATAATCTAGCAATATCAAGCAAAAACAGGCCTCAGCATATTAGTGAAAACGCATCTTACTCTGAATCTGAGGCAGCCGGGCTCAACTTTTCCGCGCATAACAGGCTCTGCTCGCAATTCTCGTCATCGTCGACAATTCTGAATTCGACAGTTGGTAGAGTTGGTGCTCATTCGGAGGTGAGAGTGAGCCTTAAGAATACTAAAATAGTATTCAAAGAACCGTGGGAAGAAATGCTGGCACTTTTTGTGCTACCTAAGTGCTCTACTTGTTGGATACAACTAAGCGATTACAGCGTGCAAGTTGATGCTGCAGCTATAGAGCCGCCATCCTTGCTGGTAAATATGAACCTGCCAAAGCAGGAGTCAATTGTCGGCACTCATTCAGCGTCTCTAACTCCAGTGTTGGATTGGAAAACTCCCAGCAGCCCCGCTCTGGTGATGTCTGCTTGCTTGACGGAGTCATTTATTAGCTTTAGCGCCTCACTAAATCTCCAGAAGAAGCCATATCAGTCTCTTGATGAAATATCGCGTCGGCCATTGACCCTCGAAATAAAACATCGCGTCGACATAAAAATACAAGATCTACATGTTTATTGCGACCTTGTTCTCTTGAACCGACTTTTGCGCTTTGTATCGGGGAAGCTAATTCCCACTCTTCAACAAAGTGTTCAGATGTTTACCTCCAGGCTACATGAGGCGGATTCTGCCAACTCCCCAGCCATGGCGGCAGAAATTGGTGCGGATGATACCGGTTGTTCCCTCCCGACGTCTGGATTGGTTTCATGTGAGGTAGTTTTGCGTCGCATGGAGGTACACTTTGCTTTTGAATTAGACACCATGCAAAGGGCTAGTAATAGGCAATGGAGGCTTCACATAAACCACCTATCGGCTGTTACGGCTGCAGATGTTTCGAAAATTGACTTTACTAGGGAATCCTCCCTTCTGCAATCAACGAAAGCTAAGGAAGAATTCATACTATATCATGTGGTGAAGGTGAACACAAATGATGTAGAGCTTCACTGCGGTTCTCTTCATCCTATCCCACTTCCAGCCTTCAGTGTCGAGGCACGTATTCCAATGTCTTACTGCATTTTCGTTGAGAAAATAGAGGAAACAACTGAACTGAGCACGAGTGAAAGTGGTGATGTGAAGCCCAATTATGGTCCAAGCCCTCGTTACCTGCCCTTGGGCTTGGTGGCAAACTCTGAAACCTACATCACAGAGATTTTCGTTAAACTCGCATCCGCCAGTCATGTGTTTGTTTCTTCCGATCACATTCATGATGGGTTTCAAATTGTATCTACCCTCGCGAAGATGCGAACCCACGCCGCAAATGTCAATCACTGTTCTACTGAAGGGAGCTATCCTTTCTTTACCCAGACAGGTCATAGTGAAGCACTTGTGCGGCCTAAACAGGCTTTCCAATCTGCCGGCGTTGCGTGTCGTACATGCACGGCTATGAGACTCACAGTTGAAATTGTCGATTTTATGCTGGATATCACAAATGTTGGTACGCATTCCAGGTGTACCCCCTCATTGTCTGAGTGCAAATCGTTTGTCGGTGTGGCCCCTATGCAGAGCCTTGCAAAGCTCCACGTGACTGATTCATTGGTTGTGTGTTTTGATCAGAATCCCTATGGAGAAACTGTCCGAATGCAAATTTCGTTAATGGGAGACTTTATGGTATCTAACGGGAGCGGCACCCCAATTCTTTTCCAACATACACAGCTTGAAACTTTTTCCACTGCAGAGAAAGGGTCAGCTCCGACACACTTGCCCTCAAGTCCACGGACAGTCGAATTCACGTCGTCCATTGACTCCTGTACTCAGTCAATCACTCTTGAGCTGAGCATCTTAGGTGTGGCACTAAATTTATCCCCTGAGACATACGAATTTGCTCTGTGCATGAGCCAATTGGTTTGGTATCTCTTGCCTGAGTCTAATAGTGTTTACAATAGTATCAACACGAGTATTCTTAATAGCTCAAGTCCTCAACCACCACCATCATCCCCTGCCGACCCAACATGCTACCCACAGCCGACGCGGATGTCTTTCTCTATCAAGATCCACAGCTTCGGTCTGCACATTGAAAATATAGCCGTACTACTGCTGCGTTCTATTTATACGGATGCATCGACATTGCAATCGATTTATTCCTGCTTGGCAAGATCAGCAAGGAACGATGAATCAGGTCAGACCCCATCTGAGAATTTGTGTGCAGTCTCAGTAGGAGAAATCTTGCTCCAATCAGAGGGAGAAACCAAATTTGTGTTTTTGCACATGAAATCGACCAAAATCCGAGTTGGGGCTGGCCACATCAACGTTAAGAATGACTATCTGCATCTAAACAACTACAACGTAGCTTTCTTCATGAAACTAATGGAACGTATCATGTCGCTCGCGACTTACGCTGCGCAAAAGATAGGTGTATCTCACAGGTCCTCTCAGAATCAGTTTGGGTTCAATTTATACTTATCCCTTGGTGAATTTTGTGCGCGCTTTTATTGTTTGGATAACCCGTTCCTAACTGAGGGGTATGTTGAAGCATGTTTTCCAAATATGACGTTTGAATACGTAAATGATGTGCCCAGGCGACGCTTTGCTTTCGAAGTCGAAGATGGCGTATTGTCCTGGGTGTTCTACCCTGCCCAACCGCATCATTCTTTGGCTCTTACCACGGCAAAGACCCTTTTGACAGAATCAATAATTTTAGTGACCTCCATAAAGGCTTCTCTATTTGTAGAGGAAGACATCGAAAGACTATCTCGAATTGTAGATCTGCGTTTCTGCGATATAGAATGTGTCTTTCCCACCGGGAAAACGATCCAACACTGTGTGGAAGCAGTAGCGCAATTTGTGTTACCTCTTTTCTCATTTATTTTGCATGCACGTACCTCCAAAACATCGCAAACGTACTGGACAACGCTGGTTAATTCTGAGGACGGATCCAAATTGGTGAATTCAGAACAGCATAAAACGCATGCGTCTTGTGGCGCCAAGGATAGCGATAATCATGGAACCCGCACACCGAGTAAAAAACATGCAGACCACCGAATTCTCTTCCAAACTGAACAGTACACCTTGCATATTCGAGGAGTTGATATTCATGTGAAAAGTATTGGCGAAGAAAATGCCGGGACGAATTACGCACCCAGAGCATTATTTCTAGCGAGTTCGCCTACGCTTTTGAGTGTCCGTTTTGAGGAAATTGAATGGGAATACTCAACAAACACGACTCTTGGCGATACTTTGCGACTACAAGTTGGGTCGATCTCCAGCAGGATTCATCCCTCTCTTCAAGATGATTTCGTTATGGCTCAAGCTACTAGTCAGGAATCGTTCTCGTATGCAGATTCGACCGCTGCTCTATATATTCGCAAACAAACAGTCCCTTCCTCCGCTACTCGGATTCAAACGTGTTCCGTTGCGTGTTATGTGCAAGACTTTAGACTTGTGGTCTCCACTAATTTACTCTCCTTTCTTAACAATGAAGTATTGGCTCACCTTGCAGTAGGGATGTCACGTGTATGTGACATATCCAGTCAGTGGAAAGCCCATAGACACAGAACCTCTCATGCATCTTTAGCTCACACTGACAATAGTCCTGCCATCCACCAGATTGATAGTGGTGAGGACCGTGTTATTGCTATTCACACTGACTTGTGCCTTCGTCGTGATTTGTGTCTCGGCGGGCGCCACGGCAAACAACTTCATTTCGTCAAGGGCTCTCTTCTCGGGCACTCACCACAGAACGTGCTCAGGGTAACAAGTGCTAACCAAGCCCGTCTTTTGCTCTTCCGATGTGATAAGTCACAGGGTGGAGAAGATGCCCCTATTCTGATCGACGAGGGCCTCACCGTTGTGGTGGAAGATACTCCACTGATTCTACACGATGTTAACGGTTTCAAAGCTGACATGAACTTGGTGCAAGAGTATGCTATACTAGGCCCACGCTCTCTCTTAGTTGTTCCTGAGGAACTCATCATGACTTCTAGCACACACGTTACTCAGAAAACGATCCAATCATCATCTTCAACGGCAACTACTGGTGATGAGATTACCACACGATTTAACCTGAACGTACTTTTGAATATGAAGCTTCAGTTGTGGTCTCCTCACCAGAACATCACCGTTGATGCAGAAGTCACTGCACAATACTATGTTGAAAAGCAAGTGCACTCAGGGGAAGCCAGCAGGAGCGCTGTGGTTGTGGGTGAATGCGGTGAGGTTACCCTGCAGCGTTTGGCGGTGGCGTATGACAATGGGCACATAACCACCGATCCCATAAACTTCTCAGTTAACGTGCAACATCACCGATCTTCAGTGAATGATGGTAAACCCGACTTCACCGCGGTTCACGGAGTTCTGTCACCTGTTAAAATCTTAGTCACTATGAGTCATCTCAGACTCATCATTGCCATCTTAAACCTTCTTTCGGAAGGATGTGCACACGTCAAAGCTGGGATGTGCTTCGGAACAGATAGACAGACCAATGGGCCAAGGTTTTCACCTCTTGATAAGCAGCGGAAAAGCGCTAGTGAGGGAGAAACAAAGCATGTCGAGCCTTCTATTCAACTAGGCTTAACCATCCCATCTGTTGAGCTTGTGATATTAAATGGGGTTTTCAAGCCACTATTAGTGTGCAGCATGTGTGCCTTGGCCTGTCAAGCTTCCGGACGTCGTGACTTTTCTTCGGTTTCCTGTCGCTGCAGTGGTGTTTTAAGTCTAAGGGATTACCCTGCGATGGGGTCGCCTCCCCGCCTCCTGGTTCATCTTTCACCTGAAATAAGGGTGGACTATGTACGCTACGCTAACAATGGGGTCTCCCTTACAGGTTATTTATCATTACCCGATGGGTTTCTGACGATTCCTGTAGTAACCTTACTGAGACTGCTGGAGGCACAGAAGAGGCTCCAAGACCAGTGCATGGAGCCAAGTGCCTTTGTCTTTAAAAATGAACTTGGAGTGCCACTTATGTTAGTGCCAGCGGAGGTTTCCAGTCTTGAGCCAGCAACTTCAACTGCACCAATACCGTTTCACAACCTTTCTGTAGATTCTTCGGTGAAAATAAACCTACTCCAGTATAATCAGATGGGCTTTCGTGTTTTCGTTGCCAATGAGAATAGGCATAACCCGCATAACTTGGCTAGAGGACTTCCGAGTACGAGGGTTGATATTTCTACCCTTGAAAAAGGCACCACTCAACGTTTTCCACTCCACGAATTGTCCATTGGCACCATGGATGCTGTGCTACGCTTCGATGAGGCTTCACAGTTGGTTCGCATAACCACTTCAGTGAGTATTCGAAACAATATGACCTCCAGAACTGTTAGCTTCCCTAGTGATGGGCAAGCCACACCGTTCCTGTTACAGCCTATGCAATCTAGTTTTGTCCAACTAGGGGTTTTGATGCATTGCTTCAATATGCATGTGGACGAGTACGAGTTTTACAGTTTGTATCGCGGCGCTTTTTTGCCATTTCACTCCATTATTAGTGTGTTTCTACTACTATTTGACCTAGTAAGACCGGGGGGGGTGGACACGGAAAAGACGCGCTCAGGAGGACTGCAGACGGATGTTGGTAAGCAGCCGCAACCAATGCGTCCCCGTTTGCATTGGGACCGTGTGGCTTTTATAGACTCCAACACATTGATTCTTCCTGTTGCTCTAAACCGCAATCTACCACAAGAGGAGCGGCACATAAAGCCACAACACCTCAGCGGCTCTTCTCAAATTATAGTCAATTTGGTATTTAAGAAGAAACTCTCACGAGGAACCCAAAGCCGCACCATGAGGCTGTTCCCTAAGAGTGAGGTGGAGGTCATAGTCGAGCCAATAGTCTCCATACTTAACTGTGCGGGAAATCTTCTGAGAGTAGAATTGTTTGTGCCATCCCCAGGTAGTGGGGATGCCACCGCATCTCTGCGTCCCACAGCTTCCCCCCGCAGTGTGGCGCGATCAAAGCTACTCTCTCATGGAGAACGATTCGAGTGGTATCCAGACTTTCCAGAGGTGCTGATGCATGCACCGTTCGCGAAGCTCGAACTTTACACCTGTGGAAATGAGTCAGGATGCATTATGCGCTCAATTGACTACTTTAGCTTATCTTTTGATAAGGAGTGTTTCTTGGGAATGCATTCCAGTCAGTGCCCGACGATGAGCTGTGGTGCATTGATCGTGCAGAAACTTTCAGAAACATTAGTTGTCATCAAGGGACTCGCAGTGCTTGTCAACCAGCTCCCGGTTCCCGTCTGTCCAATAGATGACTCTTTGAAACCCCTGATGTTGTGGGGTGAATCCCAGGATCAGACAGAGGGGATCATGCTGTTACCAGGCCAGCAATATCCTCTTCTTTTCCCTTGCGACACAGACGGCAGGCCGCCGAGAAGGCGGGAGTTCGCTAGGCCCCTTCGCGCACGCGTCGCAGTTGGGAGTCCCAGTGCTAAGCCGTCACAGGCCTTTACGTGTCCCTCTTCTGTTGCTGTGCCTGTATTCCTCAGCTCTGAGGACAGCGACCATGAGTGGATTTTTATGGCATCCAATGAGGGCACAGATGCGGCAGCGACGATGTTCGGGTCCCCTGAAAAAGTTATTCCGCATCTCCCTTTGACCATCTTAAAACCGGCGTGGATTGTTCACAATGCCCATCCATCACTTGCACTACGCCTTCATTTTGTGGGCTTGCATTGCGATGAGGATGCGTTGGTGCGACCATTGCAAACGCTGGAGCTATGCCGCTTTGGGATAGGCAGACAGGGAAGCCCTGAAGTCTGCTTTCGGTTCGAAACACTTGCAGAGAATGACAAGAATCACGGGCGAAGCGGTGATGCAAGTTTCTCTTTCGAGTGGTCTGATCCTTTCAGGCTAGCAAGTCTTGCTGAGAGTGCGCTTTCGATCACAGTGAAGCACCGTATTCGTGTTCATGATAGCGATGAGACCGATGAAAAGAAAAGGCAAACTGCTACAGATACGAGGACCAAAGTGCAGGCTTTTGCAGAGAAGCTGCACGATCAGCATGGTGTTTATCTCTTTACTAACATCTGTATCCCAAAGTACTATAAAGAAAGACCTGAGGAAGAAGCCTTCACGTGTTTCACATTGACACCACTTGTACATGGCCAGCAGTGCTCTTTCGTTCTTTCCTTGAGCGACAAGCCACCCTTGGTGATTGAAAATCGCACTTCTTACACAGTTCAGTACCATCAGAGGTTGTGCTCCAAAGTTTGTGCAGATTCCCGCGACGTGTTTGCTGCATCTTCCCCAATGCAGTCAGCATTGGGGTATCTTATTTTCCCATACACGGACGTCGCCACCTGTTGGGAAGTGGTTCCTCTATCTACACCTGTTCTGCACTTCGTTATAGGCACAGAACATGCCAAAACTCAGGATTGTGAGTGCATCGTGGATTTGGGAAAGACGGAGGGCGCAAGTGGTGCAATTAAAGTAGGAAATGTCGCCTTTGTGATTACAACTCAGGATTATCAAAGCCGCTGCTTTTTTGTGTCCATCACAGAAAATCGAATGCTTGAGAGCCAATTGCTTTTTCAACCCCGCTTTGTAGCGCATTTACATGTGCTCATTCACCACCTCTCCATTCTCTTGGCATCCACATGCGTTCCTGAGAAAACTGCTCATCTTTCCGACACGATTTTCAAACCATTGCTTGAACAATGGCAAGTTAATATGAGTCCCTCCATCACAGCAGAATCCACCGATGCGGAAAAGCTTAACATGCTTAAAGTGACTGAGCTCAATGTCGTGCAGGTATGCATCACCTCCCTTTTAGCCGAGGCCTCTTGGAACGAGAGGCATGCCCTCGTGGAGTTACATATTAACAAGTTGAGTTTGACAGACTGCACATCTCCGTCGCCTACATTTCCAACTGTGTTGCATCTTGGTGTCGGGAAAAGGGAGGATTCACTACCAGAAGGCCCTCTGGAAAACGAGTCACCATGTTTTTCTTTGATATTACATCTTTTGCGACCCGGGCGGCCTTTCTCCAGAACAGGAGACCAACTGATGTTTGAGAAACCATCCACGTGCAATATCTCCTCAATGGATCAAGGACATACGAGAAAAGGTGTTGGTCCTCAGACACAGACATCGGGTCAACTTTTAGGAGAGTATCCAAACGGCGGAATCCACACCAAATTGGCTACGATCCTCGTAGAAGAGCTACGCTTCACCTGTCCTATGGTTCATGTTTGTTTGCATGATGACTTTCTTTATGTGATTCGTCAAGCTGTCGAGAGCGCAATGGAGGTGCATAGGATAAGCCAGTCATCACTTTTGCCGGACAATAAATCCGTTCACCTTTGTTTGGCAGCACCGCTGCCACATCAGCCTGCTCGATGCCAATGTTCACTGAGGAAGGACGATATTCTTAAGGGTAATGAACCCCCTGCCAAACAAGTGGCGACGATGTACAACTTTTATGTAGCTAAAATGTTCATCTCTACCACATCACTATGTGTTTCGTTGAAGCGGCGCACGGACAATCGCTTCAATCCTTACGAGGGCCTTGTAGATCTTCCTGTTCCCTCTATCGAGAAAGCTGTGCTTGCTATTGGCGGGTTTCATCGCCGAAATATCAGTCAACACTGTTGCACCCCATGGTCTGCACTATCTGCTATCTTGTGGCCGTCATACCGCTTACAGCTTATACTTCAATTCTATAAAGTGATAGGAGGCTTGGAAGTATTTGGCAATCCAATTGCTGTGATGAATTCATGGGGCCGGGGCGTGCGATCTCTCTTAAAGGGGAGTATTCAACACGATTTTTTATCAGGAACGGAAGAATTTTTGCGGGAGACGGCCTCTTCTACTTTGCATTCGATCGGTTACCTCTCATGGGCTGAGAACTACAGCCTGACGACCCCTTCTCTTGACGAGCGTGGGACGGAGAAACCGTACGACTCCAGAAGGCCAGCGGATGCTGCAGTGCTCCCTAGAAAGGTTGGGGTTTTGAGGGATGTCGCGCATGGCATCCTCGGCGAAATTGAGAGTGTTCCGCATGAATCTTTGCCTGGGGCGCGTGTCTCGGGGATGTCCGATTTATTGGTAGGAATGACGTCAGGCACGGTGGGTTTGGCTAGTCGCCCTGAATCTGAGTTTCTTCATGGAATCACCGGTGCAGATGAGTTAAGTGCTCGTCCACGCGCCTCTGGAGGCCTTGGTTCGAGTGCTAATTTTTTTTCAGTCTTTTCAACTGATAATGCACAATGGAAGCACTTGCTACCAGCGCAAAATTTTTCGCCCGCAGACCGCTCGTTGTGTAAGACACACACACGCACGGATAGGTTAGAGAATGACCAATCTCTTCTGTCGGAGCGCAAAAGCTGTTGTTTGTTCTCATCAAACTCTGTGAGAACTTGCGAGTTTATTTCCCTAGATTTCTATAACCACATAGTTAAAAAGGGCATGAATGGGTTGAATACCAAATCTTCAGCTCATGAGCTGTCGCGCGCGATTATTGAGGAAGTGGGGGCACACAACTATGCCTTGCATGCTTCGTATCACGAGTTCCTCCAGTACGCTACGCCAGAGGAATTTTATCAATGGGTGCATGTCGCATTAGATGCGCATTTGGCTCGTGAACTTAGCAGCTTACTGAACGGCATGAGCCCGCATCAAGAATGGGAAGATTTCGACGAAGAAATTGATCACTCCAACAAGGTAGGGCAAAAGGACATATATCACCCCGAAGAGATTCTAAATATCAAAACCTCTGTGGGTATATCGAGATTGCTGGAGTATGTCTCCATGGATGTGTTCGTAAAAGTCTGCACTTTGGATGAGATTAGGGCTAATGTGAGTATAGATGAATTCCAACGCAAGTTTGGCGTGCCATTGCTTAAACATAGGTGCACTATTTTCAAATTTTTTTTAAAGCTTAGTCAAGAATGAATGATGCTCAATCGGGCCGTGATTTCTCACTGATATATTGCTTTGTCATTATCGTAGCTGATGACTGAACTTTATCAGTATCGCTGCCAAAAGCGCTTTATGGACTCCTTGCTGTTGAAATTCGGTAAAGATCATTTGTGCTATGCGGAGGGGGCTAAAAATAAAGAGTTATTTTCCCAGCATCAATGATGATAACAAATTCATTCATGGCTTTTTAATTTCTTGTCATTTTTGTGGTACCCCTCTATTTTATTTTCTCCCTTTAATCAATTTGTGTGGGTGGTTAGTTACGTCACTCAACGGCAAATATTCGCTTACATACACTGACACCATTATTCCTTAAAATACAATAACATGTCCACACTCAAGGAGCTCAACGGCCGTCTGTCCGACAAGCCATATGTATCCGGGTTTTTACCCAGCAAGGAGGATGCCAAGGTTTTCGAGGAGATGTTCGGATCGAACATTAATGTAGCCCAGTGGGCAGCCCGCATGGCGTCTTACTATCAAAGCGAACGTGACGCATTGCTCAAGGGTGAGGAGTCTGAGAGCTCAAAGGAGGTGACGAAGGCAAAAGCCAAGGGTGATGATGACGATATTGACCTCTTCGGTGAGGCGACGGAGGAGGAGAAGGCAGCGCTGGACGCAAAAAAGGCCAAGGATGCGGAGAAGAAAAAGGCCAAAGCCGCTCCCGTGGCAAAATCTTCGATTCTGTACGACATCAAAGCTTGGGACGACACAGTCGACCTCGAAGCGCTTGCGGGTAAGCTGAATGCTATTCAACGGGATGGTCTTATCTGGGGCGACCACAAGCTCGTGCCGGTCGCGTTTGGTGTTAAGAAATTGCAGCAGCTCATTGTGATTGAGGATGATAAGGTATCCAGCGATGACCTGGAGGAGATGATCATGAGCTTCGAAGACGAAGTTCAGTCGATCGATATTGTCGCCTGGAATAAAATTTAAACCTTTGAGACTTTGAAAGTAGTGAGGTTTTAATGAGATGAACTTTTCCTAAGAGCTTTTTAAAATTATTTCCCTCCTTAATTAACGAGCATCGCACCTTTTCCTTTTATCATTTTTATCGAATATTATGCCTTGAACTTGATGATGCAATTTAATAAAAAATAGGAATACCACCGTGATAGTTAACCCCAGAAAAAAAGAAATTGGAAAGGATGTGAGAATGCTTTACAGGCGTATGGAGGAAAATGAAGCAAAGAGGGCATATGAACTAAGAAAAGAAAATAATATTAAATAGAAAACATAGGCAAGAGATTTAAGGACAGAATCTATGGATCTCATAAATAAACGAAAACGAAAGGTACAGACTATGAGTCTCAGTATATTCGAGATGAACGTTACTTTATGCATGCTTTTACCTTTTCTTTTTCTTAGCTTCTCAAGGAAAAATAGATTGGACTTCTTTAAGAATACCTAAGTATCTCAGGGGTTGCAATATTTCTTACGAGAGAAGGGGAAGGCAACTTGTTTTTTTAAAACAACACCTGAAGTCGCAATCATGCGGAGAGGAGTATCAGCTATGAATTTTGGCATAGCCCGCACTAAATGTTTTCAAAAAATAGCTGCTAGACGCTTTTATCGTCTGAGTGTCCAAAACGACAGTGCATCATTATTACGTAGAGTATCGGGTCCTTTGCGCGGTACTCTCTATGAGATGTCAGGATTGGCCTGTGTCTACCGCTATCACAGTAACTACACAGTTGTTTTGCGGCAATCTTGGGCACAAAATTCGATGCGTCAATGGATGTGCTGCAAAGATACTTGCCGAAAAATCAATAATGAGTTCAAAATTTCTTGTGAAGAGTGCGGCGCAGAAAAACCCAATCTTCTTGGTTGGAAATGCGTTAAATGCCAAGCGAGGAATCACCGAGGAGTGAAGAAGTGTAAATCCTGCGGGGAGTCGTTTGAGGTGAGCAAAGATTTTTGGATGTGTGCAGCCTGTGGTGAAAACAATCGAGTTGACGAGTTGGATGATAACAGTCGGTGCGGACATTGCGGTTATGATATGGCCCCTTTGTCTTTATCCATCAAAAAAGTTCAGGAAATTTTGCAAATGCGTGCTCAGGAAAGTCAGGAATGTCAGGAGGCCTTCGACAGCATAAGCGCGCGGGATGCGGAGGAGCAGTTCGGTGACGCATTGAGTGGACATGAGGTGTTGCCTGTGGAGCTAAAGTCATCTGAGTATTCGGCAAGTGCTCTAAACGTGAAAGAATTGCCCCAGGAAGAAATCAAACCCTTCACACCGAGGCCGCGAGAGACGGCCCGTTCCCTCCTCTTTCGAAAGTCCAACCCATCAGCGCATGTTTCCGACGGTCGCATCCCGCCAGGGCCCCCTGGGTTTGACTGGATGTGCCGCGTGCAGACTTGTGGTCACGCAAACCCCGGTGACGAAGAAAATTGCATGAAATGCGGCCAACACATTACTCCGTCTGAGTGGGAATGTCAGCAGTGTGCAGCCTTGAATCATCTTTCGCGGCCCCGTTGCTTCAACTGCCACAGACTCATCCCTATGCACTGGACTTGTGGGCAGTGTCAGACTCTTACGAGCATCTACGACAAGGTTTGCCGGGAGTGTGGGTCCGAGAGGGCACCAGTGCAACCACGCAACCCAAGTGATATCCAAGAAGACATGGCTAGTGGCCGCCATAATAAAAGGGGATCCAGTGGCGTCAAACGGGACGATTGGTATTGTGATAAGTGTGGTTGTATGAATTTTGCGCGGCGTAGTGAGTGCTTCCAGTGCAAGGCGGCGCGCCCGAATTTTGAGGGTGGTACTTCCGAAATGGATCCGTCCGCATCTGGCAGCGCTAGATCGGATATCAACACAAACCATCAGAACTGGTCTTGCCCAGGGTGTCATACGGCCAATTTCAGAACTCGTACCGCCTGTTGGAAATGCGGTGGCCAGGCACCATCCGTGACTGCCTGGGCGGCAGAACCGCGCACGCCACATTTCCAGCAGGAAGGGTTTCAGAAAGATGAGGTCGATACTCGACCCGCCGAGGGTGCTATGAATGTCTGGAAAAAAACAGACGATTGGACTTGTGCTAAGTGCTTCACAAAGAACTTCCGGTCTAAAGGTGAGTGTTTCAAATGTGGCTCACCAAAAGCGGTGGCGGTTGCACCGCGTCGTGCCTCTGTCCGAAAGCCGGTTAAGCTATAAAAAGGAATAGAGAATGATGAATTGTATTATGTCTCTATCTTTTTCGTATCGGCGGGGTATGGGTATTTGCTAGAACGTTGTCACAGTAAAACCCAATAATATCATTATCTATCGATGTGTGTGTGTATGTATGTATGTCGCCCTAAACGACTTTAGAGAAGGAATAGCCGAAATAAAATTTTATGAAATCTCCGATGTGTTTGAACCTTTAGGGAATTGAATCCTAGAATCTAGAGCATCAATCAAGAATCCTACAAAAATAATAAAAAAACTACCCTGTAATTCGGGGAATCTCACGCAAGTGAGCCACACTCTGGCCGCTCCAGCAATAGTCTGATCTTATGCCATGAGAAGATTGTCTCATGGGCACTTTCTAAAGTTATCCGTTCGCTTTTTTTTCACCCTCAGGCGCTTTGAGGATATTACATTGTGCAGATTTCCCCAGGGATCTTGTCGCTATACTCATACGCAGTCTACGGGACAACTGACGGATGAAGAAGAAGAAGAACTGGTGCGCTATCTTGTCCAGGATGCTTTTTATCCATCTAATGCAGCTGGCAAGTGCTCAGGTTCTCAGTCTCAGCCAATGGTCATGTGCCAGAAGGACATCAGCTCTGCGGACCCGACTTTAAGTGTGAATGGGAATAGGAACGAACTCAAGGCCACTGCCACTGACGGATGCTCTCCATCACCAGATGCATTGAGTGCTGAGGAAACAGATTCACGTGCTATGAATAAACCCTATGAGAAGTTTGCGCGTGTACGCCTGAGCTCGCATGCCTACACTGTCGAAGAACTGAGTAAGATTAACAACCGAGAAGCAAACATTGAGTGGATGTGCATGCATTGTCAAACGTACAATTTTATGGGACGCAGGTCGTGCCGACACTGTGGGGTATCTGAGTTAAGCTCGCATCGCGAGCGCCATCCTCCCACACGGTACGTTGTTTCCTTCCCGACAAGTTGGATTTGTGAGGGATGTGGTCATCAAAACAATGCTTCCGATGCGAACGGCAGCAGTTCTACTCGTGCTTCCGTTTCACCCATTGATGCGCTGTCAAGATCTACGGTGAAGAAACACAGAACCAAGTTCTTCTGTGCCCAGTGCTCGAAACCTTTTGGCGGCGTTCGAGAGTGGTATTGCCCATACTGTGCTCACATTAATTCGAAAGCCTCAACGCAGTGCTCTACATGTTTGGCGGAGCGCCCGGTACTATGGAAATGTGGTGAGTGTGAATACGCCTTTAACAGTATCTTTTCAACAGTTTGTTTCAACTGCAAGCAGCGCCGCCTTATGAAGGCGTCCAATTCTACGGTGGCTTGCTTAAGTTGCGGAATCCGAAATGACTGTCGATGGGAACTTTGTGAGGCCTGCATGTCACCGCTTCCGGCAATGATCGAGACGGTGGAAAAAAAAGACTTCGATCAACAGGCAGCTCGAGTCACCAGGGGTACGACTCCGCGAAACATGGGTCCAGTCGCTGCGTCAGTGCAACGACGCGCTTCGGAGGCTCAAGCAGGGAAGATCAAAAATCCCTTGCAAGAAAGTAACACGACAGACCCCCCCCCATCGGCATCTGTCGCCACTTCTCATCGACCCCCGCCAACATCGGCAGAAACGAGCGGCGCGTGGTGGTGTACCCAGTGTAACATCATTCAACGTCGCAATGCGGTCTTTTGCGATGTGTGCTTGCGACCACGGCATCTAGCCGAGGAGATTACGGCTCCCTCTGATGTGAAGAATGGTCACACCAGTGAACGCGAGGGGTGCGACAAAGGAAATCATTCAACACGTGACTCACTCAAACTCCCCCCGATGGGATCATGGCAATGCCCATACTGCAGGCAGTTCAGGGACGCCAAAGAGTTGAGGTGTTGTGGAAAAATTCGTGAGATCCGAAAGGACTATTGGCTCTGCAAGATGTGTTCTAGTGTCAATCGGAAGGATCGTGAGGTCTGCATCGGTTGTAGTATGCCACCTGCGTTGGCGGAGGAGCACTGGGCCTGTGTGGTATGCGAGTTCGAAAACACCAAAGACTCCCTCCTTTGTGAGCGTTGTGGGGCGGCGCACGCGTCGCTCTGGCGGTGCATCTCCTGTCGGCTTGCGGTGCCGCAGTCTCAGGGGATCTGCCCAACCTGCAGGGCCGCGAAGCCCGACGTCCCTGCACCGATCGTCTGCCTGGTTTGTCAGGCCCCTAACGCACCAGCGCGCATGGCCTGTTTTCGCTGCCGCGCCCGCTTACGACTCTCTTGGCAATGCACCCGTTGTCAGGCGACTCATGCGGATCGAACGCTGCTGCGCTGCCCCACTTGCCTCGCCCCACATCTCTACAACGAGGCGGAGGAAACGTGGGTGTGTGAGCTCTGCGCCTCCGCCATCGCCTCCGGCGGCGACCTCCCTGTACGGCAGCAATGCCCTAAGTGTCGTGCGGACCGTCTTCCTGAGTGTCTGTCGTTTCCAAGTCGTTGGCGTTGCAAGCGGTGCGAAATCTTCAACCGGACGGCGAACCCCCAGTGCGTGGAGTGTGGCTCGGCGCGCTGTATGCCGGAGACCTTTCACCTAACCGTAACCTGCCCCCAGTGCTTCGGACAAACGGAGGCCAACACCAAGGAGACATGCACGAACTGCGGCTGTAGCCTGTCCGAGATGCTTACTCTGGCGGCTTCAGATGTGCATGTGAGTCCTGCTTTGATCCAATCCAGTTTCTCCAGTACAAATCCACACGCATCTCCTGATCATCATCAAATGCCCGAGTTGAGTGTCGACGCCGCACCGCCGCCCTGCGAGCACGTCACCTTCCCAAAGACACCAAACCAGGCAAATTCGGATGACGAAATAAGTTTAGAAGACGAGGTGTCTGCTTACACATCAGAGCATCCGTAGAGGAATGGGTATCTGGGGCAGGATCTATGCCAAATGCCCTGGAATGTGAATTGCTCCGGCTCGATGAGGGTATCAATTCGGTAATGGTGGAACAGGATAAAAAGGATGATTTTATTGCTGTTGGGCACTTCGAAAGATCCGAAAAAGCTGTTGGGCTGATAACTTTCGAGATAACAATGCATAACTTATATGAGTTTTACTATTCGCCTGAGAAAGGAATGCGAGCGAGATAAACGTGACAACACCGCATTAAATACGGTGCTACAGCAAAACCTACGATAACGGCCAGGTAGAGCAGCCTGGCTATTCTTGATCTTAGCGATGTGCCTGATTAATACATAAATTCATGCATATAATTCTTAGTTCTAGTAAATGCCAGATTCACCACATGTAGGGACTTTCCATATTACCAACCCTTAGTTCTTCGTGGTTTCTAGCCCTCATTTTTTTGGTTTATATTTGTGCTAGCTACAATTAACAATAGAAAAGCGTAGGCAGGACAAATTGGTGCGCGAAATTGATTTTAACACAATTGCTGACTTGCGTTTGGAATAAAGAAATACTTTTCCCACCCTCTGCAACGTAACGAACCAACAGTGTGATCTCTCAAAGATGGAGAGCAACAATTGGATTACCGAAGCCCTTGTCCAGTTCATAAAGTCACCTGTATGGCTTACTCCAGTTAATAGTTTCATTGATGAAAACTGCAATATATTTACTGATGATAGCGAAATGAAGCTTGAGTATACTACCATTCATCAGAAATTTAAATCAATCGTTGACGATCTGCTTTCGGAATTTGTGGGCGAGTTGGGTGTCTCACTGGAGGACGCCTTATCCGCCGTAAGGAGTTCCCTGCAAAGTGAACATGAGCTAGAGCATAAATCTGTTGAAGACTTCATGAAATACATTTATGTTGTGGACGACTTTGAGAGCTTTTACCGCATGATGATAAAGCGAAATGTCGAGTTAGACATTATAGCCGTAAGGGACCTGCAGGCTAAAGGAGTGAATTTGTCTGTCGAAGATTCAGAGAATTTACTATCCTCTATTAGTGGAGCGGCACCTCCTACTCCTGAGGATATTGCTCGTATCATCGAGGCCAATGGCAAGTGTGACGATGAAGAAGCGTTTAAGCGCGCCATATCTGCATCCCTGATGGGTGATCCCAAAGCGCAGGAAAATAAATTGGAAGGAGCCAAATTGAAGGAGGCGTTGGCGTTATCGGCTCAAGCCGAACGCGATCGCGCACAGCTTTCAACAGGCGATGCTCAAAAAGAGGTTCCGAAACCCCTCCCCAAACGCGTGGAGGATGTGGCTAGTAAAGAGCCCAAAACAACGACCGCACATCAAGCTCAGGTCGAACGCGAAGCTCATGCCCCATCTCAGACGAAATCACATGTTGATGGAGGGCCCGTGCGCCGGGCCTCGGAGTTGGATCAACCGATGGCGCACAACGGAGCTCCCCCAGCTGCCTCAGAGCCAAAAGGGCAAATACCAACGGCAATAAACAGCGCGGCGAGTTCTTCGTCCCCTCATAAGGATCAGAGTTGCCCCCTTCCTGCGCTCACAACTTCAAAGCTGCAGCAGCCCTTAGGAGGGCCTAAATTGCAGCCCCTCCCACCAATCTAAAACGCTTCTCTTCAAGGCATTAACGGTAATGTCGTTACACGGTGGAGGGAAACGTCGATAGAAGCGAAGTGGCCGCAATGAAGAAAATAGAAAGCAAGTCTCGCTACATCTGTCAGTGAAGTGAAAAGCCTATTCTATATGAGGGAAGATAGCTGCAAGCAGAAACTCAAGGCTTACAAACAAGAACACCACTTTGGTTCGCGGTATTTGGGTAAATTCAGCCTCGTGGGATGCATAGAATAGGTTGAAACGATTATTATCACACTTCATTCCTCAATGATATTGTTAAGGTTCCGCTAAATGATTTCAGTTTATTCCATAACTTCATACATCTAAGTATCTGAGATGGAGCTCTCTTAGATCGCAAAGGCAGGTAGGTGATATTTAAACCAATGATTTCTGTATAGCTCAAGCTTATGATGTAGAATATGTGCAGTGGATAAGTAACATGGAAAATTAATCCTGCTCTAGGTAATATTTTTTTATTATTATCGAAGGTTGTATATAAAAATAGAAATAAGACTTTTTTTCTCTCGAAAATTATCTATTAAAGAAGTAAATATGTGGAAAGCAAGAGACTGAGTGCGTATATTGTTTTTCTTTTGAATTTTTAATTACAGGATGCTGTCATTAGTAAGTCAGTTACATCAATGTTATTTTTTTTTTGCTGGAGGAAAGGCGACACAGCACTTGTCTTTGCTTCTTTCTTGTTTATGGGGTCTCTATAGACAAGGTCGGTTCGTTACAAAGACTCGCAAGTAGAAACTAAGCATAATTTACGATTGAATCGTGTCGACAGCTGCGCTGTATGGTTTAAAATACTATCCCAATTTTTGAAAAGTCAGCGTTGCATGGACATTTGATGCATCAAAGTCTGGGCTTCTGAATTCATGACAGTATCTATCTGTCTTCGTGTGTAATGCAACTAGGCATTTTGAATTCGCCTGGACTTCTCCCTCACAATGGTAATTGATGCGTTTTCTCTTTCTTTGCTTGGGTAGTCAGTTCGGACTATCGAACGAAACCAACATCATTAGCAAAGAATACTTTTCTAGACCTCTTATAAGGATTGATGTTAACTCAGTGAGGCCTACGACACTACTGTTTCATATGTGCTTCTGCAACCTTACGAAAAGTCCCCACGCCATTCCCATCACCGTCATGTGAGGTTTGGGAAAACACACCATACCGTTGCTTAAGTTTCAACAATACCTCTGCCTGTAGTTTCCGTTAGCGTACCCATATATTTTCTGCCTTCTCATTTAATCTTCTCCGAACACTTAGTAGAGATAGGACGAACAATTTTGCATTGAGGAAGGGGAAACATGACGACTCTCACTGAGTCTTTCCACGTAGGGGTTCTACCGTACGTCATCATGGAGGTAGTTTGTGAGCAAATGCTTTCGTACACGGAATTGTGTTGCAGCCAAGCACTCGAATTCAACCGTATTGAATGCCTTCGAAACACAGAAAGATGTATACGATGGGGATATTTGCAGCAGGTGAGCGACACCTCTCCGAACTTGCCTGTACAAACAAACTGTGAGGGTTCTTACAGCCGTTTATGCTCCCCCTTACCAAAACAGACCACCGTTTTATCTTTGGGGGCTGGAACACTCCAGCAAAATGACGGGTTGGCAACGCCTTACACGATTGACACCAAGGCTAATGCCCCTTCCTGTAGCCATATAGAAGGCTTTTCGGTCAAATTCTGTCGCTATGCCGAGGAAGCCATCGTTATGTTGAACCGAAAAGAAAACCTCGATCGAGAAGCAGGAGTTTTTATTGATCGTATTCATGCCGCTTCCAAAAGAATACACAATCTGGTACCATAGGGGCATGGCCATCAGATTGTTTTTTTTTTAATGCACCGTTTAGAAATAATCAAATGTCAAAATACGCCATGCACACCTTTTTTGAGGAATGGTGCTATACAAATTATAACTACACTAGCTCTTGATGTCAAGATCGGTTTTCTTTTTTAAAAGACGTGGGGTAAAGAAACTTAGAGGCGATATAATGAAGATCAATTAGGCTTAATTTATCTCCCCTTTACTTGATTTTTTCTCAAGTTTTAATCCTTTAAGATTAGATATACACGTGCAGTAAAGTCAAAACCTGCGATTGTGTTCTCTCAATAGGTTACCATAAAACGTATCTTGCTGCTATTATTAACGTATTTACTTTGATTTATCGACGAATACTGTGCTATAGGAATTCCTAATATCAAAAATAGAGATATAGACATACTATATATTTGTATAATATCGATTGAGCGAATATTTGAAATATGAAAATTTGTGTGATGGGCCCTCCTATAGAGGGCAGCATTTTTTTAGAGGTCACCGATTCTGTTCCTTTTCAGGACATTCTTCCTGAAATTGAGAGAAAAGCCAACAAAGGTCCCTTGTGGTCGAGCTACCAACTCTATTCGGCTGCTACTAGTGAAAAGGGGTCAAAGGCCCACGTACGACCACTCCTGCATGCGGTCCGGGTAGAGGATACCCTGGCTTCACTTAGGAAAGATGGTAAGAGGACTTATGCATTTGTTTTAAGGCCGATTGGGGACCTGAAGCCTGACAAGACAAAATCACTAATAGGTGCCGTCTCACCCCACCACACTCAGAGGCAACCATCTGGGTCTCCTTCCGCGCCGAAGGCTGCTTTACAAACGCTCAGAGGGAGTAGCCTCAGCTCAGAACGTCCCTCATTGTGTGCAACTCGTCGGAAAAAAATCGATGGAGATGGTGAGTCTTCAATTGGTGAACCGGCCGGTAAATATGGATCCGAGCGAGCTATCAAGGGTGGATCACATCCCGATGTATCCAGGGTCTCGTCAACGCCCCATGCGGAACCGTCATCGGTACTCACACGCTGCGAAGATCAGGCCAGCAATGTAGTTGATGTATCAAAGATTGAATCTGCCGGTGTATTTGTGGTGTCGTCTGACGAACCGATGAGGGCATTCAATGAAGATAATGGGAAGAATGGGGATACGGACCCCATCCCTTGTATTCAATCCCCGCAGATCGCAGAATCCCTTCCAGATCCTATCCCTTCTGGTTCGGTTCTGTCTGTCTCGCCTACGGGAACCCCGCTAAATGTGGGAGAAACGCGTGATGGGGTGGTACTAAAATCAAGAGAGAGTGCCCAAGGTGTTATTTCAATGGGGGGACTATCCAGCGACGAGCCAACTCATGCCCTCCGCTCAACAAATCGGTCTGAAGGGGGTAGCCCTCCCCAACTTCACATCATGTCCTCTCAGCCCTTGGGGCGTCTGGGTGTAACAGTCAATGGACTCTCAGAGGTTGGTCTGTTACAGGCAAAGACACACCCCTTGGTAAATCTTGCCCTTGGGGAGGCGGAAGATAAGGCCCTTTTTATGACACCCATTCAGGCTAGCACAGAAATACCCTTTCCAACCCAACCACCTATTGGTAAGACCGACGCGGATGGTGAAAAGCTTTGGTCTGTGCTTAAAAAGTTAATCTTTACAAACCCAGATGAGCAAGGGAGCTCCAGTAAATCCGAAGGGACAGATGAAATGACTGGAGGGAACCAGCATGCTAAGGAAGCCATGGTGGTTGACGAGGTGCCTATCAACAACAACGAGCAAGCGAAAAATCCAGCGGCACCTGGTGCTTGCATTATTTCTGGGAAGCGTTATTACGCTGCTGCTCAGAGGTGCGCCGAAAATCTATCTTTGAAAGCCAGGGAAGAGCTTCAGAAGCGTTATTTTCAGAAATGGCTAACATTCCTTGAGAGCCTCGTCGCCAACCAGAGGGTAGGAAAAGTGTGGCAAGGTGTGGGAAAACCGCAAACGAAGCAAGTAGTACAATACCCGCATCACGACAAGGTGGAACCACACCAGATGATCCCGAATTTCTCTGATTCCACAAGGCAGCTACCCGATTGGAATTCTCATGGTACGCTTTCAGACGAGCTTGTTTGCGCTCTCCGCTCGGTGATGAGCGCTCTGAAACACTGCTTTAAGAGTGGTGTGGCGGAAGTAGCCTTCAAAAGAAAACAAAAATCAGGGGAAGCCTTTATCGTGCAATTGCAATCTGAATTAAGCTCGAGCCCTGTTCAGGACACTCCAAAACTTGCCAACGTAATGCATCAAGCAGCACATCTTCTCGATCAATTGGCCAATCTTATGAAACTCACACAAAAGCAAGGTGCCCAACAAACTGAACTCAAAAAGGGGCAACAGACAACGCCGGAAAATATGCGCCTGTTTGAATATTTTCATTCCTTTTTGAAGGAATTGGAGAGCGATAAATGCCGAACGTTGCAAAATCACCTCGATAAGGCCCTTCGGCGAGAACAGCAGCTGCGAGGGGAGTTGGAGCTAGCGATGCGAAAGTCCCGCGCCGTCGAATCGGCAGAGAGACCCAAAACGCCGCAGCCGATCGAACCCAATAGCTCCGACCTCCATTCCATGTTGCGGCGCGTGGCGTCGATGGAGCAAAAAGAGACCCAGATCATTCGACTTCACCAGGAACTCGCCAAGATGCGGGCCACGCTGTACCAATCCAAGACCTACGAGGAGCAGCTCCGGCAGCGGGAGGAGGAGAACACGGAGCTGCAGGCCCAACTCCGCCGGGTGCGGAGCCCGCGACCGGAGGCGATGCGGCCCTTCTCCGCACGTGCGCCATCGACCAGTCGGTCGAGTCGGGATCCGAGCCTCTCACGGCCCCCTTCCCGCTCGCAGACCTCCTTTCCCCAGGGCGACAGCGCGCAACCGGCAGGGGGGGGAGGGGCCCTCCCCCTCCACTCCCTGCGATCGACAAAGCGACCCTCGCGGCAGGGCGGGCGGGGGGAGCTGCACGAGCCCCCTGTCGTCGTGCGGCCTCGCCGGGGGACCCCGGAGCGGGGCTCGACCGCGAGCCGCTCCCTCACTCGCCCGGTCTCGTTGGGGCGGCCTGACGAGGGTCCCTCTCGACAGGAGACCCCTTTACCGGAGGTAGACCGGGGGCCCTGCCCGAACTGCCGCCGGGCCGCATGGTTACCCCTCTCCTCTGAGCCCCATGGCGCTCCAGGGGAGCGGGCGGCGTTCTGCCGGTGCTGTCGTCAATCCTTCACCTTCGGTGATTTGAGTACCAGAGGGAAATGTGTTGACCCGGTATGATCCTGTTCTCTTTCCCCCTCCCCTGAAGGGTCTTGGGGATGGCTCTAGCATAGACCAACAAAAACGTAAATTCTAATATCAAGGTTGGATTTTTCCCGAATTTTTGAAGCACCACGTCGGGAAACATCTCTCTCTTCGCCTTGGTTCAATGGGTAGGTCAAAATGACTCTTATAGCCTTAATTTCCCACTTACTATTCTTTATCATACTATTTTGTAACCTGTTTTATCTTCATCTAACTTTCGATTACCTACAGTATTAGAGTAAGCTGTGAAGTATGTATATATATATATATATTATATGGATATGTGCTGTGCTAAGCTTGGATATCTATACACCTTCGAGCTGTTTTTTTCCCCCTAAGCATCTTCGACATAAACGAATCTGGTGATGAGGTGGGTACTGCAATAATAATATTTTATGCTTTATATGCGTTTCGCTATGCTTCTTATACAAAATTCTATTGCCCAATAAAAACAAACTCAAAGTAGCTTTACATGTAAACAAGGTGAAAGTGGTTTCTGAAGTGAAGTGTTTTTGGAAACTTCAGCAACGATGGTTTTCTCCGACTCGCATGAGCTTGCCAACTGTGCTAAAATTCCAGCCATTTGTCGCATTCGCTACGCCGACACAAACCATACCACGGGAACTGGGCTTCTTGTGGCGAACGGTGTAATTTTAACCTCAAAATCAGCCTTACTTCCATTGCTAGCAGACACTACGAAACGCACAGACTCACTTGTGGCCACATTTTTTGAGGGGACCAAAAAAAAACCGATTGATGCAGCTTTTCGCCCTGAGACTTTGTGCTTTCACTCAGTCTACCCAGACTACGTAGATTACTGTCTGATTGCGTGCTGCGAGGACAACCTTTTCAATGTAGTTCCAGTTTCGCTTCCGTTAACACTGAAAGAGTGGGCACCAGTGCGAGAGGGAGAGATTATTTTAGTCGTTCAGCATCTCATCCCACGAACCGAGGATGTTGTAACGAATTCAGGTGCTTCAGTGGACTGTGGAGAAGAAACTACGGATGATCGGACGGTCGAAGGCAAGTGTGGCAGTGAAGCTCCTATCTACATTCAGCAACAACGTTTCGAAGAAGTTTTACGATGCTTCAAGGATTTGTATTACTTAAAGGCAAATGGAATCGAGCAGACGTCAGGGTGCCCTGCGTTTAACGAGTTCGGTCAATTGATTGGCCTCCAGTCGCAAAGCTATACTGACGGTGAGGGTGTTATCAACCGTGTCCTTTCCATTGTACCTATAATCAAGCACCTCTTTGTTAACCAACAGCTATATCGTTTTGCAAAGCTTCAAGGTAAAACCCTTACCTTTAACGCTATCTGGGAAACGTGGTATACGGAGAAGGACCTCTCATGTGTTGGGTTGATCTTGGAGAACTTTAAACAGAAGGATATCGTGCGTCAAAGCTTTAAGAAATTGACCGAAATGCCGCTGAACTTAAAGAGCACCGCGGAGTTCGGTATTTTCGAAGTGATCCTGTGTAACCTTTGTTCCTTCCGTGACGAGGAGGAACTTGTAGGGATGGGTCTTAGGGCACTATGGAAGTTAAGCGTTGGCAAAGAGTCCTGTGCGAAAAATATCATTGATAATGGAGGAATCGAGTTTGTTGTCGCGCTGATGCATCAATATTCGCACAACAGCAGCATTTTACAGTATGGGGTAGTAATCTTGTACAACACTGTATCGATACTCGCCGGTCAAACATCACAATGCCGTTTATCAATCGATAGTGATAGTCGAAATTTTTTAATTACAAGTGACGGCGAGACAGAGTTCATAGTGGCGACGGCGAACATTTCGAAAGCGGACACCGCATATTTTTCAGGCCCCCTTGGATTTGAAGTGATGGAATTGGTTCTAGAGTCGATGAAGAGGTTCCCCGAAGAGATGGTGTTGCAGAAGTTCAGTCTGGAGCTTCTTTCAATTCTGTTGCGATGCAACGACGAAAGTGGGATGCGGATGCTACAGGAGAATACTATCGAGCACATGTGTTACCTCATAAAACACCAGCATCAGAACCTTTTCTTGATGGAAGCGCTTATGGGATGCATGGGTAATTTAGCTGAAGGGAAGCATTTTGTCGACTTTGTTAATGCGTCTTGTCACTCCGCGATGCAGCTTGTCAACCCAATCATTTCCTTGACACTTGAGTACCTTGAAAATAGGAAAATCTTAAGGGCTGTGAGTGGTGTCCTATGGGCTCTTGGTAACAACCCAGTGTTCCGAGCGAACATTCTCAAGAATCCTCACGGGTACGAAGTACTTTTTAGGTCCACGTCTGCCTTCAGTGACGTTGTGGTTTAGGGGGCGTGTGGACCTCCACTGCTGCTGCCACGACGACCGTGAATACGCGACGTTTGGTACAGAGTGTAGACCAGGTGATATGCAGCCAGACATTCAAACACGGGACCTTTGCGTTCCTCCCTCTACATTCTTTTTTTCTTATGTAAATCAGTTTTAGTTTGCACATGTTGTCTCTTTTCGAGTATATTCCACACTGTTTGTTTACTCGGAATGGCATTCCTCAGAAAAAAAAGGGGTAAAAGTTGTAGGCTTACTATAACAATATGCCCAGCATCCAGGTAAAATCAGTCAAGGGAATGAAGGTAACAATACTCAGAGGTTGCCTCAGATTGCATAAGGTTTCTTCTTCTTTTCTCTTCATTGAATTTTTCTCTTACTGGCTTATTTTTTAATTCATTACACAATTTCCTTCCATACTCAAAAGGGAAGCTAATAAAAATTGCCCTCAGAGGGTGCAGAGTCTGAACACACTTCTCACCTCCCTTATAGAATCCAACTAGTATTTAGGCCTTCTTTAAATATTCGAACCCTTGGTATTTCGAAATTCACCTGGAAGAGTGGCATGCCATCACCAAAGGATTTTATGCCACCCGCTAATTGGCGAAAACTTTTCGATCAGCTCGTGCAATACCGCGCAACCTTGGCAGCACCGGTAGACACAGTCGGTTGTGATTGTCTCTATGACCGAAAAGCATCCAAGGAAACCAAGAGGTTTCAAATTTTGGTGGCCCTCATGCTGAGCTCCCAAACCAAGGATCACATCACCGCAGCCGCAATGGAAAACCTGATGCAGCACAACCTCACACCACAAGGCGTGATGCGCATGCCACTCGATCAGTTCGATGAGTGCATTCAAAAAGTTAGTTTTCATAACAATAAGGCCAAATATATCAAAGCGGCGGCTGAAATTATCGTGATGCGACATGGCGGGAATGTACCGAACATCTATGAGGAATTGATTGAACTTCCTGGGGTGGGCCCAAAGATGGCCCATCTTTTTTTTCAGAGCGCGGATCAAAAGGTGTTTGGTATTGGTGTCGACACGCATGTGCATCGTATATCTAAACGCTTTGGCTGGACGCCTGCGAGTTGTAAAACACCCGAGGAAACTCGAAAGGTACTCGAGTCGTGGCTTCCTCGGGATCTGTGGGATCAAGTAAACAAGCTTCTAGTGGGTCTGGGGCAGACGGTGTGCCGGGCCGTCAACCCATGCTGTTCGGAATGCATGTTAAACAAAACCTGTCCCAACGCGTTTCGAGAAACGCAGGGCGGAAAGCGCGAAAGAGACAAGACTCCTGTCAAAGGTAAGGTGAGCGACATTGAGGATCAAATAAAGAGCACAAAAACAGCACCCAAAAAGCAATTTCGGAAAAAGATTAGTACGATCGAGGTTGTAGCGAAAAAGAAGGCAAAGTCAATGTAACTGCTCAAGTGTTGTGTGTTTAGGGAGAGGTGGGTGGATGTTGATGCTACCTTATTAGGCTTGAATTTATCCTCTTCGTCTTGCGTTTTTGTTACTGGTGTGATTTTTTCATGAATATATTTGGAAGACAATTTCTGATAATTCACTCCTAGGTGTGATATTTTTACCTCGTTAAATTAACTCACATCAATATCTATTTCTATTTTCTTATCACACTTCCACAATGTTATGATGTTACTTGTCCATTGTTTTCCTTCTTCTGTTCCCTGTTTTCGTTTCGTTAAGCACGAGGACGGCTCGGTGTTCCTTCAAGCCTTTTATAACTTTCCTGAGGAAGGGGAGTCAGTGTTGGGACTAAACTGTAGCACTGGTGCATTTTGTCACAAGAGAACGAAGCCTTTCGTTTTGTAGAAACGCATGCATGTACCTAATATATTCGCTGATGATCCGATTTGCACATAAGAAGTATTTACTACTCTCCTCATTTTCTCTTCATCATTTTTTTCTATCACTAGGAGCCTTATTATTGTGACTTAAGACACCTCTATACTTCTACTGCCGCATTGTCATCGTGAGGCAGATTCATTCTCTCTAAATATTTGTTTGCCCAAATAACAATTTTTACTTGCAAAGCGAAAGGCTTGACTAACAATTGTAGAGGATCAACTAATACCTTGAAAAAAAAACATATTCTGTTATTTATACTTCATTGTCGATTTCTCAAATCCATTGATGACGCAGCCCAAGGAACAGGAAAAGAAAGCCGCCAAGCTGAACAAGCTAATCGTGGAGGAACCTTTCAATGATGATAACAGCATTATATCTATGCATCCAGAACGCATGGATGCGCTGAACATTTTCCGCGGTGATACGGTCCTTGTGAGGGGTAAAAAACACTGCTCCTCTATTTTTGTTGCTATGGAGGACACGGAATGTGCTGTTGGTAAGATCAAAATGAATAAAGTCGCGCGACGGAACATTCGCGTTCACCTGGGTGACTCGGTACGCATCTCGCCAGCTAAAGATGTTCCGTATGGCAATCGCATTCACGTGCTTCCTTTTGATGATACTGTGCAGAACCTCTCGGGGGATCTTTTTGAGAACTTCCTGAAGCCCTACTTTCTTGATGCATACCGTCCAGTTAAGAAGGGAGATTGCTTTATCTGCCGTGGTGCGATGCGCGCGGTGGAGTTCAAAGTTGTGGAGGTAGACCCGGGTGAGTACTGCATTGTCTCGCCGGAGACCATTATTCACACTGAGGGAGACCCTCTTCGGCGTGAGGATGAGGAAGCTCTCGATGGCGTCGGGTATGACGATATCGGAGGCTGTCGTAGGCAGCTTGCGCAGATCCGTGAGATGGTAGAGTTGCCGATTCGCCACCCAGAACTGTTCAAAAATATCGGTATCAAGCCTCCGCGCGGCATTCTACTCTATGGGCCACCAGGCAGCGGCAAAACATTGATTGCTCGTGCGGTTGCCAACGAAACTGGTGCCTTCTTTTTCTTAATTAATGGGCCTGAAATCATGAGCAAGATGGCCGGTGAGTCCGAGAGCAACCTACGAAAAGCCTTTGAGGAGGCCGAAAAGAACTCGCCGGCGATCATCTTTATCGATGAGATCGACTCAATCGCGCCCAAGCGGGATAAGGCTCAAGGTGAGGTCGAGAAGCGCATCGTTTCGCAGCTTCTCACACTGATGGACGGGATGAAGACCCGCTCGCAGGTGATCGTCATGGCCGCCACGAACCGGCCCCAAAGCATCGATCCAGCGCTCCGCCGCTTCGGCCGCTTTGACCGCGAGCTCGACATCGGTGTCCCCGATGAAATCGGCCGCCTTGAGATTATCCGCATCCACACCAAAAACATGAAGCTGGACCCTCAGGTAAATTTGGAGAAGATTGCCAAGGACGCGCACGGCTTCGTGGGCGCGGATTTGGCTCAGCTGTGCACGGAAGCCGCGATGCAGTGCATTCGCGAAAAGATGTCCGTGATTGATTGGGAGGACGACACGATCGACGCAGAGGTGATGAATGCGATGCACGTCACGCAAGAACACTTTTCTGAGGCGATGGCGAAGACCAACCCGTCAGCCCTGCGCGAGACTCAGGTGGAAACGCCTAACGTTACCTGGAATGACATCGGCGGTCTCATGGATGTCAAGCAGGAGCTGCAGGAGCTGGTGCAGTACCCCGTCGAGTATCCCTGGAAGTTCGAGAAGTACGGTGTTTCCGCGCCCAAGGGCGTTCTTTTCTACGGTCCTCCAGGCTGTGGTAAGACGCTGCTGGCCAAAGCGATTGCGACGGAGTGCCAGGCGAACTTCATCTCCATCAAAGGCCCTGAGTTGCTCACGATGTGGTTTGGCGAATCTGAGGCTAATGTGCGCGACGTTTTCGACAAGGCGCGCAACGCGGCGCCGTGTGTGCTCTTCTTCGACGAGCTAGACTCTGTAGCCAAGGCCCGCGGTGGGCACGGCGATGGTGGTGCTAGCGACCGCGTCATCAACCAGATCCTGACGGAGATGGACGGTATGAATGAGAAAAAGAATGTTTTCATTATTGGAGCGACCAACAGGCCAGATGTGTTGGACCCCGCTATCATCCGGCCTGGCCGACTTGATCAACTCATTTACATACCACTGCCTGACAAGGAGTCCCGTGAGGCCATCATCCGTGCGAACTTTCGCAAATCCCCGCTGGCAGAGAATATCAATATTCAATATATGGCCGCCGCCACGCATGGCTTCTCTGGGGCCGATCTCGCAGGTATTTGTCAGCGCGCCTGCAAGATGGCCATTCGAGAGTCCATCGCGAAGGAAATCCAATTGGAAGAGCTGCGCAAGGCAGGCGCAATATCGGAGAATGAAGACATCGACCCCGTTCCTGAGATTACACGGGCCCACGTCGAGGAGGCCATGCGCGGAGCACGGCGCTCTGTCAGTGAGGCAGACGTTCGTCGCTATCAAATGTTTACGACCTCTTTGAAGCAATCACGCGCGTTCGGCATGGATCACACCATTCCAAATCTAGGAAATGAGGCGAATGAAGATGTCGAGGATGCTGACCTATACGCCTAAGATGACCACTTCGAGTGTCAGGGAAACGAAGACAGGAATTCTCTATACATGTGTCTGAAGATAATTGCTCTTATTTATTTGTTTTCACCTGCTTGACGAGCCCATATTCAAAGCCATCAACTATGCAGGCCTTCAGTAGCCTTTAGTTACTATTATTATTGTTATTACTATCACTATTCTTGTGTCGGTTTTCCATGCTTTAAAGAAGTTTCAAAATTCCTAAAGGATTCCTAATCAAGAAAAAGAACAATAAAGGAAATCGGATATTGAAGGATTTATTTTTCGGTATGAAATGTAAATGTCGTTCCTTTTCTACAGTTTAAATGTTCCAAGAGAACAACGTGTATTCCCTTTTAAAAGGAAAGACGATACCAAATTTGATCATTTGGTTGCAGTTGCGGAGTGCCCTAACAAATCTAAAAGAGCAACCTTAAAATTACATTGCCCTATATTTTTTATCTCCTCCTTTCTGTTGCTAACACTCATTACCTTATAAGTTAGAGCTGAGCGTGGGAAAAAATATTGCAAAAGGGGATAAAGTCTACTGTTGGGGCACAATTGAGGGATATACACAGGTCACATCAGTAAGTATGAAGAAAAGTAGCCACACACAGTGAATACATATAAGTTTATATATATAAGCTTCATAATCCTTACCGAGTCTATTTTTATAAAGTGAAGAAAGAGGAAACACTGACAACTAAAAATGCAATTACTTCATGAACTGATTTGAGTTTCGCATCGCTGAGGATGTGATCTAATATTTCTTCAAAAAAAAATTGTCCATTTACACTTTTAACAAACTTAAGGGACTTCATTATTGTTTTCCTTTTTTTTTTGAAAATACATGTTATCTTCCTTTGTGGAACACCATCTTCTATAGTCACAGTTCCAGAGATACTATGCCATTAAAAGTCATTTTGTTCGGAGCGCCGGGGAGCGGCAAAGGGACCATCAGTGAATGCCTCGTGCGTGATTATGGTTTTTACCACATCAGTGCCGGGGAGCTACTTCGCAGGGAGGTTGAAAAGCGGTCACCCCTGGGCCTGCGGTGCGCAGCGCTGATGTCGGCGGGTGAATTAATCCCAGATGAGCTCATCATAGACCTTGTCTGCCAAGTGCTCAAAAGTCCTGTCGTTAAGGATAAGCCGGTTCTATTAGACGGATTCCCCCGGACCCTGAAACAGGCAAGGGAGCTCAGCAATCGCGGGTTTAATTTCGATATTATGTTTTACCTTCGTGTGGATCGGGATGTGTTGCTTGAAAGATGCTTGTGCCGACGTCAGGATCCTGTCACGAAAAAAATATACAATATCCTGAATGACCCTCCGCCGCCGGAAATAGTAGATCGTCTTCAAATACGTTCAGATGACACCAGGGAAAAGCACAACCGACGCATGAATATCTTTTTTAAGCAAAAGGAAGATTTGGTTCGTTATTTTTTGGACATCCTAATGGAGGTTGATGCCAATTCCAGTGTGAAGGATGTCTATAAAAAGATCAAAGCATACATTGATTGGCATATCGAACAGGAGCGTCTAGAAAATTATCTTGATCGTGATAGTCATTTGTGATACATGTATGCGCATGTTTTTTCCTTTTTTTATGGTTGACCATACCCCTTTTGAAACCTTGGATTAGTTTGAGAAACGCACAAAACTGATGTTTGCACAAATGGTGTGATTGAGCATATGGTGAAATAGGGGAAAGGTCATTAAGAATAACTCGTCTGTTTACTATAAAAGCAAGTAAAACTCCACGGAGAGACTTCCCGTCTTCGGGCATTTTTCCTATTAGGATAAAGTCTCTACAAATGAGAAACACCATCAAAACAGGTATAAATGTATCAAGAAATGATATATATATATATATATTTACATATTTTATGCCAGTATATGCTTGCTGGAAATAGTAATAAAAGTAAATCAGCATTTAAAAAAATTAGGTGTACGTCTGGGATGGTGTACAGTAAAAGAACGATAAAAAGGGAACACTATTACTAGTCGTATTCATTTGTTAAATTCACGTCGCAGTAAGCAAAAAAAAAAAGAAGGGAATAGATCGGACAAAAACAATAATTTTAGCATATTCGAATTATATACCTTTTATGTCAATAAATTATTAAATTAGGCAGTTTCCTTTGAGAAGCAGAATCTTAATATTCAGGGAATAATCGGATTCATTGATAAGCTGCTTAAATAACCCTGTTTCTCAACCATTTATGTTCCAATTTGAGTCAATTTTTATTGTCCTTTTTTAAAATTTTTTAGGCAAGCATTACCTCATTATAGCAGGGTTTCAGCAGGGGTTGTCTACAGGCCTATTACACCATTGTTCAGACTCACTCATATTTACTTCTCATTATATTTAGTCGATCTCCATCGATGTTAAGGTGTTCTTTTAGCCAGGATAGGAAAAGGATCGAGCTCCAATTTCTTGTGTGTCCCCTCCTCCCTTCCCTAAGGGGGGAAAAGGTAAGCAACGAAACATTTGTGTTGTTCGTGATTGCACTTAGTAGCGCATAGGATTCCCACTGTACCCATTATTTTACTCAGCACCAGGATGCATGATGAGACTCCAATCTTAGAGAGAAAGCATGTAGGGAAACAGCTCGCCTAAAGAGACCGTTAAGGCAGGTATTCCTAGCTGAAAAAGACTTATACTCCTCTACTCTTATCCCATTTTTCCAACTTTCCATTTGTCCATACAATCCTATATAAATCCTACCAATGGCGCATTTTGTAGACTCTGGGTGTCAACAACATGTTTGTAGTTTAGGATGGAAAAGCTGTAACATCAGTGTCCACCTTTACCGATGATATGCCCCTTTTTTTTTGCGTGACACCAGCGTTTATTCCCTCCACGGTGTCCATTTCTCTCCATTATATTTCTTTAGCTCGTGCATACTCCTTTCAATATGACTATTAATGTGTCCCCCATCAGAGATACGTTCACAATGAGTGACTCATCGTCGGCGTCTGCTAAAGAACAGTTGGAAGTGGCATTTTTAACCCTAGTAGACATCATGATTGTGGTTGGGCCACAAATCGGATATGTTTTCCAATTCATCGAAATTCAACGAACACGCAGTTCGTCCGGTTATTCTCCTCTGGTCTCCCTTATCTTGTTGTGCAGTAACACAATCCGTATTTACTATTACCACGGCTTTCACTATCGGCTAGCTTTGCTTTTTCAGGCCCTGTTGACTGTTCTCGTGCATCTAACCCTCCTCCACAAGCTGATAACTATCCAAACCGAGGAACGGTGCTCGGTTCACTCACTCTTTCATCAAGTTGATCGAGAAGCAGTGGTGATTGGAGACGTGGACTTAGCTCTCGAGCCTGGGTGTCCGCCCAGGTCCATATCCAAGGAGACGTCCCCGGTGACAACTCCGACCGCCACACCGTCTCTCAGACTTCAGAATGATGATCCTGATTTGCACCAGCCTCAAAGTGGCCCTTGTTTTGCCCTTCTCCAGCTAGCAAACAAGGTGGAGGCTCGGTTTCAGTCCACAGATTATTTCAATTTTTGGATGACTTACTGCCTGTGCACTGTGTTGGGTCTTGTCGCTGTTTGGCTTCTTTTTAGCTTTACAGAAAATGATCCGCGCTCGGTTGCCTTTGTGGGGTATCTGGCCCTGTGCACGGAGGCGCTTTTGCTTGTTCCGCAGGTTCTTCGAAACGCCAATCAAGGCTCTACTCATGGACTTTCTCCGATTCTCATCCTTTCTTGGGTTGGTGGAGATGCGCTAAAACTAATTTACTTCATTACCATGAAACAGCCGATGCCATTTTTGGTCTGCACTATTTTCCAACTTTCGATAGACTTTGTGTTGCTTGGTCAAATGGTCTATTTCAACCGACGAAGACGTTTAGATGGTGATGCCGTTCGACCTACAGCCGGCAACAATCTACCCACACCACACAATCTTTTATGAGTATTTTTAACATTTGCTTACGTAATTCATGGAACTAATTTCTGAGGAAAGAAGTGTTGTGCATTAGATATTCGATATTACTGTTATAATTTCCTCACTAGTGCTATTTTCTCGACAATCTTAGTATTATTTGCATCAGTGCATTGTCGAGAAAAGAAGCATTGTGTACCTCCCCTATGTGGGGTGTAACCATGACAGGCTGGAGGGGGAAGAACTGAGGACTTTTTGATTTATTGTTATAACCTGTTCGGTCATTGTACTTTAATCTGGAACGGTATTGTGCAAATGTGAAAAGAACATTCAACACATGCATATGAGAATGGTGCGTCGATAACAGCGCCGAGCAATTAAAACGGAATCCCCACAAGCGTGGATTTATATTCGCTATTTTCCTCAAAACGGGTTGAGCAAAATTCTAGATTTCATACTGCCAAGATATAGAACCCGCCAAGGGATCCGAGCCCGCCCAGGGCCCCCATTTCTGACATCCTCCCTCCCCCCCACTATTGGCCCGCGGGCGACCAAGGGAGGGGACCGGGCTTCTCCTCTCCAGCCCTTCGTCCGGCAAAAAATTTTCCTTCCGGCCGGAATCGAACCAGCGACCCTGTGATACCTGCCGAATTCTACAGTCACATGCTCTACCAATTGAGCTACAGAAGGCTGCCTGTCGCCGATGTATCTGTTTTGGAGAAACAAATGAAAGGGCTCATTCAGACCGAAAAAAGGCCGCTAGGGGGATCGAACCCCTGACCTCCGTCTTACTAGGACGGCGCTCTGCCATTGAGCTAAGCAGCCGTTGACCCGGCCGCTAGCAAGTGCAGTGAACAAAAGTAGGTCCTCATCTCGCCGGGCCGCAGGCCGGAGCTGCGGGCCGGGCAAGCGTCTGGTTCGTTGGGTCGCGCTTCTGGTCTCTTGCTGGAACAGATTCAGGTGGGATAGCAGAACTTTGGCCATACAATTTGGTATATTAGTACGATTAATAATAATAATTTAACCTTCTAATCTCGGTAGGTGAATTGGCTACAAATGAACTCCATTGCCGTGTTGGTTATCATGGATCGGAAATACGCCGCTGGCTTAGTGGCAATTATATAATAGAAAGGAGCTAAAAGATAGATATAATAATTTTAAGGTCTACATCATAGGCTATTTTATAAAATTTGATATAAATTAAATATACGTCTCGTGGAAATTGTGGAGATCTCGATACAGAAAAAAATGGCCCCCATGGTCCAAAAAATTCCAGAAAATGATTTATAAAAGCTACTCATTCCATAAATTTAAAAAATTTATACATATGCATAGCTTTTGTAAATGTTTTTAATTCTAAATTAATTATTTATCAGTTTCATTACAGTATATTATAAAAAAAACTATTTAAAAAGTTTTAGGAATCATGCACTGCCCAGCTCTGCGGCAACGCCGATAAGAGCCCTGACAATTTTTTAAAAATGGAATAAAAGTAGAATATATATTCATTTGATTTATCAAATTACTTTTCTTTATAAAAT